CTGTCACCCCCATTTTGCAAATGGGGAAACTGAGGACTGGAGGGTAGTTTCTTGCTAAGCCACCAGCAAGCAAGTGGTAGAGCAAGGACTCAGTGTAAACCCAGTTTCAATGGACTGCCATGGCTGCTGCTCCCTTAGCTCCTCTCATTAGGCTGGGACAACCCTGGCTAGGGTTTTTAATTCGCAACACGGGTTTCCCTAAATAAGAATTAATGTGTTTTCTAGACACCGGCACGGTACGGAGACCGTTACATATTTTGCCTCATTTAACCCCACACCCTCCTTTAGGCTGTCGGTTTGTTTTTTTGTTGTTGTTGTTCTTAGTCTCACTCTATAGCCCAGGCTGACCTTGAACTCATGATCTCTTGCCTTAGCCTCCTGAGTGCCGGCATTACAAACATGCACCACCACACGGTGCCAAGGTTGTGTTCTGACGTCTACTTCTCAGAGGAGACAAGGGCCTAATAGTAAAAGTGGCTTTGTCATTTACAGGGACTGTTATGCTAAGTCCCAAAACCCAGGCTCCACTCTAGGCCTTTCCTGGTCCCTGCTCCCACCCAGGTAACCTTGACCACCTGGTTGATGGGGCTCTGGCCTTGAGCTGGCTCTTACTGCAGAGGGAGCACCTCCACCTGACAAGATGCCCCATGAAATGACACCATGTGTAGCCCCTGGCACAGCTCTCTCTCTCCCTCAATGAGGGAAGCAGAACCCCAGCTCCAAAAGTGCCCCACCATGTATCCCCAGGCTTCTCTCTGGAGCTCTGGTCTCTAATAGCCAGGCCCTGGATGACCTTGCAGGGGTGGCTGCTCTCCAACCCTGGTCCTCTGGGGCCACCTTCCTCCACTGCCTGGCAGAAGGTTCTGTCTGCTTAGAGCAGCTGGGGGATCTCACCACTGCAGTTCGCAGCAGAGCTTCGGATTGTGATCCTGAGGGAGGGAGTTCCATCTGTGCTCCCCCTGCTACAGAGGAGGAAGCAGAGGCTGGGTGATGCAAAATAACCTGTCTGGCATCTGTCATGATGTGACTCCAGACCTCCTTCCTGGGACCCCTGCCACCTGTGTGGGCTCCCATTCCCAGTTCATTTGTCTCCACACGAGCCAGGCTGGAACCCAGGGTGGCTCTGCAGCCTGCATCCAGGCCCATCATCTCACTGAACCCCACCTCTAAGGGCTGCAATGAGGCTAAAGGACAAGGTGCTGGGCCAGAGTCAAGTAGGGGCCACTCAAGCTGAGTTCAGAAATCTCCAAATGCAAAGCCTGAATTCCTCTTGACTTTACATGTGGTGACTGTAAAATGCAGGTAATAACGGTCCACTCCTAAGACCTCTACCTTGAGTTTCCCTGAGCCACACTGAGTGACGGCTTTGGGGAAGCACTAAGCCAGGCTGAGGGTGAAGCTGTGCAGCCAGTGGGATCCCTTGCCTCTGGGGCAAGGCTCCTGATGGCAAGGCTTTTCCCAGGGCCTCACTGAATATAATCCTTGATCCCCTAAGGGACATAATAAAGGAACAGACTTGAACAGGGCACTGGTGGCTCACGCCTATATACTACTCAGGAGGCAGAGAGCAGGAGGATTGCAGTTTAAAGCCAGCCCGGGCAAATAGTCCCTTGAGACCCTATCTCATCACATAAAAGGGCTGGCGGAGAGGCTCAAGGTGTAAGCCCCAAGTTCAAACCCTAGTACTGCAAAAATAAATGAATAAATAAAACGAACAGACTTTGTTAGGCAGACATACGTGCCTGAGGTCCCCAGCTCTCCTACCTGGAAGGAGGCAGTTCTAGTTGCAAAAGGACATCCAGTTGGGCCTTGCTGCTCCATGGTCACTTTCCCACCAGAACTTCTTAGCCACTGGTCAGGACACAGGCAGGGACCTGGCTCCTTTCATTCCTTGGTTTCCAGCTTCCCTCCTGGGTGGGGAACAAGTGACTCAGAAGTAGAGCCACCTCTTCCTAGGCTGCAGTGGGGACATGGGGCCAAGCTAGGCTAGACGAGGGAGGCTCTCAAGGCCTCTCCTACTCTGCTGGGACCAGAGACAAAAGTTCTGACCTCTCTGGTCCATAGGGAGAGTTACCTGATAGGTTCCAGCCCTCATTCTAGGATTGGCCCAGGGATGACCTTGCTCGGCCTGGCTAGCGTCCTGACTATAGAGCCAGTCAGTACCCTTGAGTTAAATAACAACTGGGCAGAGGTTAAAGGTGAACAGTAGGAGGGAGGTGAGGGGGTGGAAGGGGATGAGGAGGGAAACGGGCACATGTGGGAAACTTCCAGACCTAGGGGCTGGAATTCCTACCATGGTGTCTGGGGTTGGCTGTATCTAGCCTCTCTTCCAGCCCTCCTTATCACTGCCCACTTCCCCTTACAGTTACGACCCATTCTGCCCTTACCCTATCAGACTGTGAAGAAGGATTGGAGAAGGACATAGGTCCAGCACAGACATTGGGTACCCTTGACTTAGAGTCCAAATCTGTTGGAAAAGGCCTGTTTCACTAGACTGAATCCCTGGCCTGAATACATATGCAAAGCTGGGAGCTAGTGGCTCACACTTGTAATCCTAGCTACTCAGGAGGCAAAGTTCAGGAGGACCGTGGTTTGAAGCCAGCCCAAGGCAAATAGTTCTCGAGACCCTATCTTGGAAAAAAAAAATACAAAACAGGGCAGGTGGAATGGCTCAAGTGGTAGAGTGCCTGCCTAGCAAATGTGAGGCCAAGTTCAAAACCCAGTACCACCACCAAAAAAATAAAAAAATAAAAAAACCCCAAGGAAAGTAGAACATGGTGGAATGGTGGTTTCTGATCCAATGCCACCCTGACCCCCTCAGCCAACCCCTCTTCCACTTTGTTTTTTCACAGAACTAACTCCATCAGACTCGTTTGGACCTACTGAAACATGAGTTCCACAAAGGGTAGGGGTAGGCTCAGATTTGTTCCCAGCTATATTAAGTTTAGAACCGTAGACACCCCACCCCCAAACAAAAGCTGAATGAATGGATGAAACCATCAAGGCTATAGAGAGAGGGCTGAAGGACATAAAGACTACCATTGTATAGTTGTTCAGAAGAAATTTCTGCAATGGAATTTACTGGGTCAGAGAATATGAACCCTGGGGCCAGTGTAGATCAGTGGGAGGGCACTTGCCCAGCATGGGTAAGGCCCTGGGTTCCATTCTCCAGCAACCCACCCCACCAAAAAACTTTTGTTTTCTATCCTTCACAGAAAACATTTTTTTCGGGGGTGGTACTGGGAGTTAGTTGAACTCAAGTGTCTCACACTTGCTACAAAAGTGCTCTACTTGAGCCACTGCCAGCTTTTTGTATTGGTTATTTTTGATAGGGTCTTCCTTTATGCTTGGGCTGGCCTAAACTTCGATACTATGAGTGCTTCCCCATGTAGTTGGGATGAGATTACACCAACCATTGGTTGAGACAGTCTTATGAATTATCTGCCTGAGCTAGTGCCACTGTGAACCACAATCCTCCTCTCATCTCTGCCTCCCAAGTATCTAGGATTACAGGCTTAAGTCACTGTGCCTGGCCACAGCAAACACTCTGAGTAACTAAGCTACCCTGTGATTTTTGTCACTTGTTAAGACATTCAAAATCTGCCAACAGCCAGTAAGACACCTCACTAGTTTTGTTTTTTGCGGTACTGGGGGTTGAACTAGGGACTACAAAATCGAGCCACTCTACCAGCGCTTTTTTGTGAAGGGTTTTTTCCCCGAGATAGGGTCTTGCAAACTATTTGCCTAGCCTTGCTTCAAACAGTGATCCTCCTGATCTCTGCCTCCTGAGTAGCTAGGATTACAGACATGAGCCATCCATGTCCAGCACCTCAGTTTTAATTTCTGGGTTGTGGTGCCCCCTCCAAGTTCAAGTTCTCCCAGGACCTCAGAATATGACCTCATAGCCAGATGCTCACGCCTGTAATCCTAGACCTCATAGCCAGATGCTCACGCCTGTAATCCTAGCTACTCAGGAGGCAAACATCAGGAGGATCGAAGTTCAAAGCCAGCCCAGGCAAATAATCCCTTGAGAGACTATCTTGAAAATACCCATCACATAAAAGGGCTGGCGGAGAGGCTCAAGGTATAAGCCCCGAGTTCAAACCCCAGTACTGGGAAAAAAAAAAAAAAAAAAAGAATGTGGCCTCAGATGTTAAAGAGGATCTTTGCAGATATAATTGGTTAAGACGAAGTCACACTGGATCAGGGTGGGCCCTAAAGCCAATGACTGGCATCCTCTTAAGAGACAAAAAGATGCCATGTCCAGAGAGATATGTTTGCAAGTCAAGGATTTCAGCAGCCACAAGTCTGGAGGACATGAACATTGTCCCTCAGAACACACAGAAGTTACCAACTCTATCAATTGTGGACATCGGGACATCTAGACTCCAGAACTGACAGTAAACTTGTCCCTTTAACCCAGCATCTGTAGAATTTATCTCAGCAGCTCCAATAAAACACAAGGGGAACACACTGTTCCTCAAACGGTCCTCGTCCCTAGGACTGATGACCCCACCTTCACATTGCTCTCATCCCTGCTGCTCACTTGCCACCATGATCCATGTTACTGCTACCTCCCCAAGCCCCACCCGTGATCACTCCACTCTGATTACTTTCTGTCTTACTTCTTTCAAGCCCTCCACTACTCAGTGGCTTCAGTGGTCTTTGCAAGCTACAAAAAAAGCCTTCCTGTGGTCCCCTGTTCATGACCACAGCAGCCTGAGCCCACTTGGTCATCACTGCATGCATCAATGCAAGACCCTCACCAGGGGCCTGAGACCCCTTCCTCTGACACCAAACACAGGACCAAGGGGGCACTGCAGTTACTCACCCTTTGGGAGCATGGTAACAAGTGTTCTGGAAGGTACACAAGAGTTAAAAAAAAAAAAAAAGATGACTGTCTGCAATAAAGTAAGGGACTGGACTGAGCAAATCCTAACTCCTGGCTACTGGTAAGAGCAGCAGGTCTGACTGCAGAGAACACACAGTCACTTATTGGGAAAAAAAAAAAAAAAAAGTCAACTTTTAATTGTAACTGATCAAATTGCATCTAGTAATATCTCTGAACTGAACAAAGAAACACGATAAAATTATCCCACTGAAGAAACCAAGTTCTCACTGGCCCTGCTGCCCCAAGGGCTTGGCCAAGAGCAGCTCATTCCTGAGGCTGGCTCTTTTCCCCCTTGCAAATTCCTTACCCCAAGGGAAGGGCTAAGGATGGCAAGGGACCTGTCCCCTCCTCCCATCATGTTGGGAGTTCTTAGAAAGTCACTGGTCGGTGAGCCTCTCCCACCCTACTTCTGTCCTAAGGTAAACGGAGACTATCTGGGCACCGTCCAGAAACCCAGGAAGGGGCAAGGCAGCCCCGGCACCCTCCTGGCCTTTTCAGCCAATGTTCCACACCAGTACTCTTGGCTGGTTGTTTCCAGTGCCTAATGTGGAGAACAAAACTCAAATGCCCCACTGTCTCCACAATGCAAGTCACAGCAGAAGAAACAATAAAACAGCCCTAGTGAATGAAGAGTGCAGCCACTGGCCCTCAGAAGATGCGCTCAAACTCTGTCTGGTTGGTAGTGGCAGGATTTCGACTCTGGTTGGTAGACTGCTGGGTGATCTGACTGCCCTTCCGGCGTGGTGGTGCCAGGTACTCAAACATGGACGTCAGGTGGGTGGACAGCATGCCCTTGAGATCCGAGGGCATGGGGTCTGACCAGAAGAAATCGTGGTTGAGGGCATCATCGCTGTCGATGCGTTGCGTAGGGTCCAGTACCAGCAGCTTGTCGATGAGGTCCAGTGCATAGGGGTCGCGCACATAGGCCTTTAGCCTGTCCTTCACCTTCCGCTTCTGGCCCTTTACCAGGTCTAGTTTCTCAAACAGCTCGTACTTGTCCACGTTTGGCCACACCTGGGAGGGAGGCATCGAGAAAGAAGAGTTGGGGAGGGAGGTGTGCCTGTCTGCTGGTCAAGCACCCAACAGGCTGAAACAATTTCTCTACCCAGATGCTCTCTGAGGGAGAACTGGACCCTTTGAAGGTGAAAGCAGCAGTGGCCACCACTGATGTGGCCCAAGCTAAGTGCCAGGTCCTTGTACGCCTATCACCTGGAATACATGTGCCAAACCTGACAGATAAGTTTCTGTATATAAAAAAGCGACCTAGATCACATCAAAAACTGGAACCCCAGCTGGAGGCGCTATTGGGAAACAGTGGAAAATTTAGGAGGTGGGGCCTACCTAGCGGGAGGAGGAAGGCCGCTGGAAGCGTACCCTTGAGAAGGATTTTTTCTGTGGCGCCCCACTACTCAGTTAATGGCCCCAGCCCTTAAAGGGAACATCGGGATACCGGCCCAGTCTCTCCTTGGACTTCAGGACTACCATGATGTGTGTTCCTTTGCCATAATGTTTGGCCTCGCCTCAGGCCCAAGGAATCAAGACTTGAACTTCTGAACTGTGAGCTAAACAAATCTTTAAGTTGTTTTTCCTTTTTCTGCCCTTTTTTCCTTCAGTACTGGGGTTTGAACTTAGGGTCTTACACTTGCTATGCAGGTGCTCTAGCAATTGGGGGTGCTCACACCCCCAGCCCTTTTTGCTCTTACTCTGTTTTTCAGATAAGGTTGTGTGCTTTTGCCCTGGTTGTCCTCAGACCATGATCCTCCTACTTCCACCTACCAAGTAGCTGGGATTACAAAAGTGTACCACCATGCCTGGTCTGATCTTTTTGAGATAGGAATCTCTCTTGCCACCCCAATCCTACCATCTCCACCTACCAAGTGGCTGGGATTACAGGTGTACAACCACCACACTTGACCTTTAAGTTGTCTTTCTCAGGTTTTTTGTCATAGCAACAGAAAGCTAACATAACAGTGCCACAAAACCAACTACTACCGGGTTGAGATCTGAACACAGTCCATGTGGCACTGAAGAGCAGGCCTTGTTCCCTCCATCAATCTCCTCTCCAGAGGAGTTTTCCTTTGATTCCACTCTCCACTACTCCTGTGTTATGGAGACCCGCATCTCTGCAAGCCATGGGGACAAAGGGCCCACTCAGCTTAACCACATACCTCAGGGGTGATGGAGCCACAGAGCTGGCTGATGAGGGCAAGCTGGTGCTGCTCCGTGTTGCCCTGCATGATAGGGCTGCGGGTCCACATCTCCGCCATGATGCACCCAGCACCCCACAGGTCAATGGGCGGGCCGTAGTCCCGCTCCCCTGGGAAGAAGAGCGCACCAGGAGGGCACCTTGAGCTCAAGAGCCTCCTGGGGCTCAATACCCCAGGGCCGGCAGCTCAAGAAGCCCTGGCAGTAGAGGGCTGGGACCAGATAGGTACCCGGCCCCTGCCCCCCCCGCCGGCTCGGGAGTCCTCACCGAGCAACAGCTCCGGCGGCCGGTACCACAGTGTCACCACACGGTTGGTATAGCGGTTAGGCTGGCTGTTCTTGGCCAGGCTGAAGGCCCGGGCCAGCCCGAAGTCGGCCAGCTTCAGGACCCCATCCCGGGTAATAAGCACATTGGCAGCTTCATGTCCCTGTGTAGGATCTGCAGGGGCACAGAGTGAGGGCTCAGCCAGGTTCCACAGGGTTCTTCAGTCACACCCACCCAGCAGGGGAGCCAAGGCCAGCCCACACCTTAGTCTCTCCTCCCCACCTTATTTCTGTGGATGTAGTAGAGGCCATTGAGCAACATTTGCATCACCCTCTTGATCTCAGACAGCGTGAACTTGACTAAGACGTTGCTCAGCAGCCCAGCCAGGTCATGCTCACAGAAGTCGAACACCAGATATATACTACCCTTGCAGCGGTTATATGGGGAAGCTGATGCAGAAAGGGTAGGAAGAAAAAGTCAATAATCTATACTCAACTCACTTTCCCACAACCAGCTCCCATTCCTCCAAAACACATGCTCTCTAGGGCTTGCATTTGTGCATTTGTTTACTGGCAAAATGTTTTCTGAGTGACTCCTCTGGGCAGATGCTGTGGCCAGCCCTAGGGAAGCACCAGCTCCCATCCATACTCCAGATGTTCTCCAGAGAGAACAGTATGGTAAGCTGTATGTCCAGTTTAGGTGTTCAAACAAAAGCCTTAAGTGGTAAGCCTCACTTTCTTCCACAAGATCCACACAACATACCTTTGGTTCGACAGATCTCAATCAAGTTGACCACATTCTCATGTTTTAGAAGCTGGAGGATCTTGATTTCTCTCAAGGCTGTAATGGGGAACTGAGATGGGAATAAGAGAGGAAGTGAGCAGAAGTGAGTGGTAGAGATCAACACTAGTGGAGTCTACACTAAGGGACCTAGGTGGAAGTTAAGAGCCCTCGGTCTCCACCATCAAGCTTTACCTCTATTCCTACTGGTAAGATTAAGACATTTCTTTGCAAGCTCAGGGGCAAAGAAGGTACAGAGCTTGCCTCTTAGGCGCAAGGCCTTAGGCTCAATCCTCAAAATCACACAACAAAACAATAACAAAAGAAAGGAAATTTCCTTGCTAAGTAAGTCTCTAGGGCTGGCAGAGTGGCTCAAGTGGCAGAGTGACCGCTTATCAAGTGTGAGGCCCTGAGTTCAAACCCCAGTACCGCCAAAAAAAAAAAAGGACTAGGTCTTTGGAAAGCTTAACTAAACCTAAGATGGAGTGGGAGAGGGACTGCTCCATTCTTCCTTTTCAATGTATTCCCTTGAGTTTTAATTCCCTTTGAAAAACCACGTGCATGTATTTCTTAGTCTCACAACCAAGGTACACTCCATGCAGTCAAGAGCTCCTCCGCCAGGCTCCAACCATACTTGCCCCAAAATAAAACATCAAATGCTTCAGAACGTTTGAATTATGATTTAAATGAAAGGCCAAATCCCTGAAACGTGGAAATTTCCAAACTACTAGGTATAAACTGAACCTCAACACGAAACTTTCAGATGCAGCAGGACTGAAACCTAACCCAGTGAAGAGTACCTGGCAGGCCTGCCCTCCCCGCCCCAGACCCGTACTCACCCCCTCCTTTTCGTTCTCCATCAACACTTTCTTCAGAGCCACCTTCTGGCCGGTCTCGCGGTGCTTGGCCTTAAACACCTCCCTGCAGGCGGAGAGTGAGACCCAAGAGAGCTCATCAGGCATTTCCGCAGGGCCCGCCCCTCCCCCACGAGAGGAGGGGCAGCGGGAAAGAAGGGGAGTCCGGGCGGGGCTGAGCCAGAGACCCAGACACGCGGCTACTCCACCACCCGCTACCCTGGGTGTCTCTTCGAGCCTCTGCCGCCTTGCCTCGGTGCCCTCTCCATACCCAGGCATCTCTCGGAGAGATGCTGCTCCCCTCTTGGGCGCCTCCCTGCAACCCCTCCTCACCTCCCACCCGAGGCCGCGGGATCCTCCCCGCTAGCCAGCTCCGTCAAGCCCGGGAGGGATGCGGCGCGGCCTAGCGAGACCAGAGGGCAACCCCGAGAACAGGAGGCTTCCCGACCACCTCGGGCCGGGCCCTAGGCGTCTCGACATCGGCCCTGGAAGGTGCAGGCCCAGGGTTCCCGGCCCCTCGGGGCCCAGCCTTACCCGAAGGTGCCTTGGCCGATCTTGGCAATTTTCTCATACTTGGTCACCTCATCACAAAAGGGGCATTCCACCGAGTCGTATTGCTTTGCCATGGCTGCTTCCAGCGCGCCGCCGCCGCCGCCGCCGCCGCCCCCCGCCGCAGCCGCCGCCGCTCCGGGTCCCGCCGCCGCGCTCCAGGCCCCTCCGCGGCCGCGCCACTTCCGCCTCCACGGCCACTTCCGGCCTCGCGGCGCCGATCCCACCTCTTCCGGTCGCCGCCCGCCGCCAGGCCCCCTGGGACTTGTAGTTCCCGGGAGGCCAGGGGGAGCGGGAGCTGCAGAGGCGCCGCCGCCGCCGCCGCCGCTGCCCCCACCTCCGCCACCGCCACTGTTGGTGGCGGCCCCGATTGGGGGCGCGGGAAGCCGGGGCGCTGGAGCTGGGGCTCGGGGCGGTGCGTCCCGCTGCATCGGCCCGGGCCGCGCTGCTGCCGAAGCTGCTGGCGCTCTGGCGCCCGATCCAGGGCCAGCCGCAGTGCCCTGCTCCTCCTCCTCCTCCGACGGCGCCGCCTCCGCCGGGCTGCGCGGGGTGGCGGATGGGGGGGGGCGGCCCCCGAGCCGCGGCCTGGGGGGCTCCCTGGCCGGGCCCGGGCCCGGGGCGGCCGGGTGAGGGGGCCAGACGGGCAGAGCCGACGAGAAGACGGCCGGAGAGCCCAGGAGGGGGCGCGTTATAAAGGGGGAGGTGCCCGGCCTCGCCCTCCCCTCCCCCTCCGCCCGCCCCCTCCCTTCTCCTCCCACCCTCCGCGGCCGCACCTGCCGCCGCCGCCGCCGCCGCCGCCGCCGCCCGTAGTCCGCCGGCCGCCCTCGGCGCGTCACCGCCCGCGGCCCCTCCTCCGCCTTCGGAGGTGGGGCCCGTGCTCGACACCTGACTGCGGGCGCCCTACCGCGTGCCTCAGTTTACCCCTCAATGCCGCTGTCGCAGGGCGCCCCTTCTTCCCGGGCTGGGGGTGCTCCCCCAGAGGCGAAGGCGGGAGGCACCTAGGGAGCGGCCTTCGCCCTGAGAGGAGAGAACTGCCCCCGCCGCCGCCTCCGCTGGCCCCCGCCACCCGCCGTTGACATGGCAACTTACAGCCGCCAGGGGGCGCGGCGACACTGGAGGCGGCGAGCGAGCCAGCAAGGCTTGGGCCTTCTAGTCCTTCTAGGCAGGAATGAGAGCCCTCCTTTGCAAAGCTGCGACAGGTCGGTCATTGCAAAAAATAGGTAACATTGATTGAACACCCCGCGTGCTTAGGAAGTATGAGAGTGCTGGATCCTGAATTGACGGCCCTGCAATCAGGACCACTAACCCATTTTACAGAAGAAGACATTGTGACTCAGAAGGGGGGTCATCCAACCAAGGTGACGAATGTGTGGGTCTCGAATGTGACTAGGATTCTCGTGACTATGTTCTCTTCCCCGCTTCAGGGCTAGGCTCCCCTGATCCTGCCTTTTCCTGCCTGCTGGAAGCTCTCTGGTTTGCTCCCACCTGTTACCCCACTTTGCTTGGTCTAGAAGCCTCCTCCTAGGAGGAGACAAGAATAGTTTTGTTGATCCCGGTGTCTTAAGAGGCCCTTTTTCTGGAGAAGGTCCCTGCTAGAGAGTGTCTTGAGAGTCAGGACCCTCCTTGGAGCCAGTAAGAATTTTAGGTAGTCCAGCCGTATGTCAGGGAGTGATTTGGGGCCAGCTTCATGGATACACTACTTAACTAGAAGCAGGGAGGCCAGGCATGGTGGTACTCACCTGTAATCCCAGCACATAGGCAGAGGCAGGAGAATTTTTTTTTTTTTTTTTTTTGGAGGCACTTGAGTTTGAACTCAAGGTGTCATGCTTGCTAGGCAGGCACTCTACCACTTGAGCCACTCTGCCAGCTCTGTTTTGTGTTGGGTGTTTTCAAGATAGGGTGTCACAAGCTATTTGCCCAAACTGGCTTTGAACCGTGATCCTCCTGATCTCTGCCTCCCAAGTAGCTAGGATTACAGTCAAGAGCCACCAGCTCCTGGTGAGGCAGGAGAATCTCAAATTTGAGATCAGTCTAGACTACACAGCAAAACCCTGTCTTAGAAAAAAAGCTGGCAAAATTGCTCCAGTGGTAGAACACTTGTCAAACAATCATGAAGTCCTGAGTTCAAATCTCAGTACCACCAGAAAGAAAAAAAAACCAACGAGGATATTAACTAAATCACATAGGTAGGAAGAAAATGATAATTGTAGTAATTACAAATTGTCGAAGAAAAATAAATGGTCCAAGCCCTACACTTAGCTCTTTATGGGAATTATGTTAGTAACACTCAGCCATAAGAATGGGCCCTGCTGTATCACTGCCACTGTACTCATCAGGACCCAGACACTCAGAGGTGATGTCACCTGGCCATGGTCAAGCAGCTAGCCAGTGGCTACACTAGTATCTGGCACAAACCCCTAAATCTTCCCTATGTCAAGGCCCCAACTATCTAGGCTTGGGGTGGCACGAATACTGAGTCAGGGTGCAGTTCCAAAGCCTTGGTGCCAATGTGAGATGTAAGAGATGACAGTAGCATTATGGGATCTGCCATGGTTGGGTGGCTTCCACCATCAGACTTCGAGGCTAGGGCCGCCTGCCTGTCTCCCACAAGCCCCCCCTAAGTTACATCCTGTGGGCAGAGGCCTTAGCAGAGTTTCCGGTGTTGTCACCTCCACCCCAACATCCCCCAACATCCCTGACATTTGGCAGTCACTTATTTCCTCTGAGAGCTTTGGGCCCTCAGCCCTCCCTGAGGGAGGCAGGAGTAGTCCAGAGCTCTTGGGCTGTCCAGTCCAGGGCCTCAATCACTGAGGCTGGCTGACTCAAGAGGAGGCAGGAAAAAAGTACCCATTTTCACTCACCTTTTGCTGGCTTGACGGGAATGTTGCCTGCTTCTTGCAGATTGGTTAAGCTGGCAAGGCCCAGGCATATGGCTGCTCTCAGTAATTGTCGGCTGACCAGGACCAGAGAAAGCCTCTCATCTGATTTCCATTTAACAGGGAAACTTTCCTGCATTGAGCAGGAAAGGCTGCCAGTGACAGGCTTTTGGTCCTGACTTGGATCCTGTTTCCCCAGTAGGAAGAGCATGGTGCATGTGGAGGAGAGAAGACAGGGTCGTGGGGTGGTAGTTTCACTGGATGGGGACACAGGACAGAGAATGGCTGTGTGATACTGTCCAGTCATGGATGTTCTGCTCCCACTACCTGCATTACCTCTGCTGGCCCTGTGTTAACATGTATCATCTCTCTGAAATGTTGCAGGTCCCCTCTTTTGTTACTGGACCCAAATGACAGAAGAGGAAACAGGCTCAGAGCAGCAAAGTGGCCTGGTCAAGGCCACATAGCTAGGAAGCTTTGGAGATGGGGTTCAAAGCCAGGTTTCTGTTTTCAAAGTCTGTTATCCTATACTGTCCCATTGGGAAAAGTGTATATTGAGCACCTAGGGCATAGACCCCAGAGCAGGGGCCATTAGGGATGGGCAAAACCCATTCTCTCAGGAAGCTTGAGGTCTGTTTGGAACAGGTAACTAAAACCAAGTGGCTGAAACACAAATGACATTCTCAGTATGAATATCTTATTTCACTGCTAGGAGACCATGAGAGGAATGTTCTGTTTGCCTTATTTTACTGATGGGAACGAAGAGGCTCTGAGACATAATGACTTGCCCAAGGTCATGCTGAACTCAGGTTGGCCCAGGCCTGGTCCCTAATAGCTGATAGCACTTGCCGATTTCTGGAGCCTGTCTTCTACTCTATAAGTCTTTCCCCACCCTCTGTCCATTTTGAGTCAAACTGGGAAAGAGGTGCCAGGATGGGAGGCAGAAACCAGCGCAGGGTTCCTGGGGCACTTAGCTCAAGTAGCACTAGCACTGAAGGAAGCAAAAGATTGAACTGGTAGAGGTAAGCATGGCGTTCACTTAACGTCCCGCCTTGCCAGAGGGTCCCGAGGGAGGAAAGCACTTGGTTGGTGTACAGGGCTGCAGCAGGCAGGCCAGCTGGTTTGGCCTTCAGTGCAGGCTGAAGAGAGCCTGGGGGACAGCCACCCGCCAGCAGGTCTCCAGCCACACTCCCAACAGCCACTCAAGGCAGCACAAAGGGGACTCTGAGCTCAGTAGAGCTACTACACTGAGCCCCATTCATTCTCCCAGGGACGTAAGCAACTGCCCTGGCGTCTGGGCTAACGGCAGGCCCGGCCCTATGGCTGACAAGGCTTCTCTGGCACAGCAATGCAGCCTCTTTGTGGCTGGGGCTCCCAGGTCTCACTCCATGTGTCTGCCCACCAGGGTTTGCCTGTCCTGGCCCAGTGTGCCAGGGCCTATACATCTACCCTTCAGTCACAGAGCCAGGGCTTGCTGGAGCCCACAGTGTGCTGGCCAGGGACTTCTCCCAGGAAGTAGGGGTTGCTGTGACCCCATTTCACAGATAAGGAAAACAAGGCCCAGAGAGGCAAAGTCTTTTGTGTATGATCTACAACAAGTTGGATGCTGGCCTGGCCAGGAAGCCAGCACTGGCTGACGCCACAGCTTGGGCAATTAGTCCAAGTCACATTGGAACTGTTTCCTAGAGAGAAGCTGGGAACTTTCCCTCTGCCTTCCACTAGGAAGATCCCCAGCTCTTGCCAGGCTGTGGGTCCCTCTCCCTCTTCTGACAGACTACCTGAAGAGGGGAGTTTGGACACCTGGTTGTTTGTCTTATCTCTGTTTCTCTGTAGCCTCAGTTTCCTCATCTGTGAAATGGGGCAGTACCAAGATCTGCCTCAGAAGTCTGTTCTGTGAATTTATGTTCACTTTTTTTTTTTTTTTTTGGTAGGACTGCGGTTTGCACTTGGGACTTCACACTTGCTAAGCAGACACTCTACCACTTGAGCCACTCCTCCAGTCCTGTTGTGTGAATTCAAATGGTGGTCAGTGAAGGCTTCCGACTCCATACCTGGTTCCCCAAAGTCCATGGCCCAGAGCCCTCATCCTTTCACTTCAACTTTGAGCATGGTCCACCCACACATGTGGTGAGCAGGCCCCTGCTGCCATGGCCTCATGGCTGTCTCACTTTCCTTCACAGGACCTTGAGTTCCCTTTTCCCTATCAGAAGGATCAGCCAGACCCTTCCTTCAACAAGGACCATCATCCAGCTGCCAGGGGACTGGGAGGCCCTAGGCATGGAAGTTAGCGCCTCAGGCTCTGCAGCAGGAACAACTTCTGGTTCTGGGTGACTTGACTTTGGGGGTCATTATGCAGGAGGGGCCCACCCGAACTTGAGATCTCTCTCTCTCTCACAGCCCTGGTTGTCATCCTGAAGGCCAGGATGAGAATGCCAAACCCGTGGCTAGATGTATACCAGGCTGTTGGTTTGAGCCCCAGCACTGCAGAGAGAGGGAGAGAGAAAGAATGCCCCACCTCTGCAGGTTGGCTGCATACTTTGCACTGTCCCCATTGTAGAGATGCAGTGACTGAGGTTTCAGAGATGGCAGAGACTTCTTAGCAGCACACAGCACTGGATTTGAAGCCTGTGGTCTTGTGGCCTCCCACCCCCATCATGTGCTGACACTCTCCACATGGCCTGTACACACACACACACACACACACACACACACACACACACACACGTTTGTAGGGCAGAAGGCACCAGCTGTGAGTTAAGGGAACTGGAAGGGAAAGTTGTAACCCAGTCGGTGCCACCAACCCTCTATGTGTCCCGGGGAAATCCCTCTGCCTCTGTGCCTCAGTTTCCTCATTTCTGTCCAGTGGGTGTGGCAGACCAATCATTACACGTTTCTGCTTGCTTGGATGGGAGTAACCATGCTCCAGTGCCAGGCACTGATTCTGTGCCAGGTTGTGTTCGGTGCCCTGGCCCCTTGAGGAGGGCATGACAAGCATCTCCTGCTCACAGAGAGGAAAAGGAGGTTCTGGAAGGTGAGTTCCCTAGCCTTGAGACCACGCGATAATAAAGTGACCAGCCAAGAGTTGAACTTGGGTCTGGGTAGTCAGACCCACAAGTCTGCTCCCAGCATTCTCTTCTCTGTTGCTGCCAGCCTGTCTCCTGGGTGCTGTGGCTTAGAATAAAGTGCCCTGCACGTAGACCTGGCCCTCTTGCCTTCCCAGTGATGGGACAGACCTCTGACAGCGGTTGGCATGTCCCCGCAGCCCCTGGCTCAGTGGATTCCATTCCTAGAGCTTGTGGTTTGTTCCCCCAACCTTCCAGGTCCCATGGGCTTGTGGTGTGCCCCCTGTCCCTGCTGCTGAGGCTCAAGAGGCCCTAAGGGGCTGGACTTGGGAGGCCTCAGCTCCCGCCCCCTGCGGAGAGGGTGGGAGGGTGGGGCTGTGGGAGTTTGGCTGGTTTAAAAATACACAGAGGAAGCGAGGGAGAGGGTGAGAGAAAGGGGAAGGGGTGTGTGGGCGGAAGCACTTCAACCTTGATGTCCAGAGCCACATGCCAGCTGGCCAGGGGCTTTGCACAACTCGCCAAGATGACGGAGGGTCCCAAGAAGACCAGCAAAAAGTTCAGTGAGTACAGGCTGTCCTCCAGCCCTCTGTCCATCTTAGTCTCTTTGAATCTGGTTGTTCAATGCTGTCTTGTTTCTGTTTCTTTTTCTGTCCATCTCTTGTCTCTCTCCAGAGTTGCTCTGTTGTCATCTGCCCATGCTCTGCACAGGGCTCTCTCTCTCTCTCTCTCTCTCTCTCTCTCTCTCTCTCTCTCTCTCTCTCTCTCTCTCTCCCTCTCGTCAGTTGGGTCCCCATCTCTGGGCTCCTGTGTCTGTGCCTCTCTATGCATCTCTGTTTCTCTGTCTCCCCTACAGTTCTCTGCATCTCGGGCTTTCTCTGATATTTTGACTGCATAGGAGGAGACCATCACACACCCCATTCTCCTGCCCCAGACCTCAGCTCACACTGGATTTCAGGGAGATAACTCAGGAGCTAACGGAACTAGGGGTGGGGAGAGAGGGAGAAGGTGCCATGGGTTCTGTCCCATGTTCCCACCAACAGTGAGGCTGGGAGCTGCTAAAACCAGGTTCCTAGGTGAGCCATACCCACTCCTTGCTGTCTCTTTGGATCCCTTCCTGGCCCCCACAGATTTCTCCTGTCCCAATTCCTTTGATGTGACAGCACCCATGAAGGAGGAATGGTGTGACTGCATTGCATGGATGGAGATACTGAGATCCAGCAACTCCTATGCAGTCTCATGGGCCAAGGACCAGGGCTCAATCCCAGTTCCTGATTTAGGGCCTCGGTTTCCCTCCTCACCCCCATTACTGTCTCCTTCAGACCCCCAGTGTCTAGGAGACAAATTCAGTGGGGCTGAGAAAGGAAATGGTCACAGCTCTCCTGTTGGCCACTAACACATCTCTGTCCCAAGGCAGAACTGTCTGTGGCTAAGACCAGGTGGGGGTGGGCAGGGCAGGGAAGAAAACCCTAGAGCACTGGCCCCACAGTCCAGAGGCCTGGGTCTTCATCCAGGCTCAGCCAAGTCCTCACTGTGTGACTGAGGACAAGCCCTTTCCCTCTCTGGGCCTCAGTTCCCACCATTGTGAAATGGGGGCCCCCTACCTATATTCCAGCATGGGTGTGAGGACCTGAGGAGGTGGAGGGTACCATGGAAGTGGGAATTGCAAAAAGGTTGTCCTTTTTGCTCATCTGGAGGCTGTAGGGAAGTTAGATGATAGTGCTATGAGAAGGGACAATCCCACAGCTGGGGGCAGGGAGGAGTGACCTTACATGCATGATGCTCATGCACCCCTGAGGAAATGGGGAGATGGTATCACCCCAGCACTGCTGTCTAAGTCTGAATTGTGGGCTCAGCCAGACAGGAAGGAGAGAAGCACAAATGGAGGCCAGCGACCCTTGGGCTGGTGATCTCCCCCTCCTCTTTTCACCCCCACCCCAGGCACTTAGAGACCCTACACAAGCACACACACAAGTGCTTCATTGCTGCTGTGTTTAAGTCTCAGTTTCCTTATCTGGGAAGTGGGGATTACACTGTGTCGTTGAGTTCTGCTGGGAATTGGGAAGTACAGTGTTTAACAAATGCAGAGGCATTTTGTTGTCATCCTCATCACCATTATTTTTGCTAATTCTTTTTTTTTTTTCTATTGACTCTTTTTTTTTAATTTATTCATATATGCATACAATGTTTGGGTCATTTCTCCCCCCTTCCCCCCACCCCCCTTTTTTTTTTTCAGTGCTGGGGTTTGAACTCAGGGCCTACACCTTGAGCCACTCCACCAGCCCTTTTTGTGTTATGTTTTGAGATAGGGTCTTGAGAACTATTTGCCTGGGCTGGCTTTGAACCTTGATCCTCCTGATCTCTGCCTCCTGAGTAGCTAGGATTACAGGTGTGAGCCACTGGCTCCTGTCTATCTTTGCTAAGTCTTATTGAGGATATTTGTATGCAGGACTAATAGGAAGCATGTTATTAAGTCCTTTGCTTCAATCTTCCTTCTGTCCTTAGAGGATAGGTACTGTAATCCTGCTCTACTGATGCGGACAAGAGGACTGAGAGACATCAAGTGACTTGCCTAGAGTCACACAGCTAGGATGTGGAAGGACAGGAATTCAAGCCCAGGGCTGTGACTCCACAGCTGCTATGTAATCCCATTTTGGGGAGTGTGTGAATGATTAGAGGGAGTGTCTGTGAAGCCCCCAGTCCTCCTTGGACCCTTACTGAGTGGAACTGCAGGAATTTACTATTATTATTGTTATTATTGGTGTCATTGTCATAAACTCCTTTTTCTCCCCTTCCTCTTTGCCAGAGTTCTTCAAGTTCAAGGGCTTTGGGAGTCTCTCCAGTCTCCCTCGGTCCTTCACACTGAGGCGGTCTTCCACTCCCATTAGTATCCGGCCCCATCTGGAGCCTGACGCCTTTGAAGCTACACAGGATGACATGGTGACGATCCCCAAGAGCCCCCCAGCCTATGCCCGCTCCAGTGACATGTACAGCCACATGGGCACCATGCCTCGTCCTGGCATCAAGAGAGTTCAGGACCAACGGGCTACCCAGAAGGCCAAGGAGGTGAGCCCTGAGCCCCACCTGGTACCTCGAGGTCTTCCAGACCCACCAGGATTGGAGGCAGCCAAGGAGGTGATAGTGGAGGCTCATGTACCCCTGGAGGACACACCAGCTGTGGGATCCAGCCTTGCAGCACTGGAGGTGGACTCTACGACAAAGTCTGAGGACCTCACAGTAGACATAAAGGAGGAGAGGGCCCCTAGGGATATGCACCCAGAAGGGTAGGTGCCGCCAGGGCCATGGGAGGGTGGGTCCGATAGGGGTGGTCTCCAGCCTCCTGTCAGTGCAGCCCCCAACACAGACATCTGGGCTAAAAAGAAAACTACACACCAACCAAGTGCTTACCACAAACCAGACACTGCATGAAACCCTTCCCTTGTAACTAATTTTCAGAAGAAAACTAGCATACTGTTACTGTTTCCTATGACAGCTGAGGAAGCCAAGATGCAGGGAGGGGAAGTCTTCTGTCCCAGTCAGGCTGCACATTTGGCAAGTAACTAGGCTAGAATTTGAACTGAGGCCATCTGCCTCAAAGCCCTTGGCAGCCTCCAGCATGAGCCTCAACTGCTAGGTGGGCTCTACACCCAGGCACTGGATCCCTCCCCTTGACTCCCTCCTTCCCCTGAGTCTCTGGACACTTCTCTATCTGCTCTAGAAAGACATTTGTCAACTTAACTTGGTTATAAGGGAAGTTGAGTTCTTGCAAAAACACAAATAGTGATGACATGACAATAGCCCCCATTTTTAAAATTTTTAATATTCTGATCAGATTGGGGTTTGAGCTCAGGGCTTTGCACTTGCACAGCAGGCACTCTACCACTTGATCCACGCCTCCAGTCCATTTGCTCTGGTTGTTTTGGAGATGAGGGTATCATGAACTGTTTCCCTGGGCTGGCCTCAAACCATGATACTCCAGATCTCAGCCTCCCAAGTAACTTGAATTATAAGCATGAACCACCATTATCTAGCTGGGGGCCTTTCTTTATGGCTTCACCCTGGGACACTAAGCAGAGCCTCTGCATGCTGAGCTGTAATTGAATCCAGAGTCTCCCCCGCCCATTCATGGGGAGTAGGACCTTGTAAAGCTGCAGAGTGAATCCAGGCCAGCCTCTGCCTCTTACAGGCTGCACTGAATTTTGGACACGTCTGTTCCCCTCTCTCAGCCTCAGCTTCTCATCTGATAAACGGGCATAGCGAGTAGGGTTGTAGGGTTGTAGTGAGAATTTAAGAATAATATACCTGAAAAATCTCGACACAATGTTTGGCAAACAGGTAAATGGGAATACTATTTTTATGATTAAGAAAACTGACGGTTTTCCATCATCACTGGCTGTCCCAGGCTGCCTCCTCCAGCCACCCTCTCATAAATTCGGCTTCATTCCTAGTGAAGGAGCAAGGATCTTATCAGGGAAGGGCGGTTGAGAGGTTGACAGGTCCTGGGACACGGTGGGCTCCTCAAGACTGTGACTTACCGGGAGTCTGGCCACTCCCACCAAGGGACGTTGATTGGTTCGTAAGAGAGGGGCGGGGCGAGGCGGAGCGGTGGGACTTGTCTAGGGGCGTGGGCTTTCCCTGGCTGTGCTCGGCGAACACTAAGGGAAAGCGGGCTCAGGAGCGGGGCGGGGCGAGGCAAGGCAGAGGGGTGTGCTTGGGTGGGGGCGTTTCCTTCTCCGCCCTGGATCCTGACTGACAGGGAGGGGGCGGAGCGAGAGGGAAGACTTTGGGGAGTGTCCGAGGTGGGCGTGTCTTTCCCGCCAGAGCAATAAGCGGTAGAGCAGGGCCGGCTAGAAGACGAGGGGGCGTGGCCTACAGGCCAGTCTCCGCCCCTGGAGTCCTTCTCTAGGGCTCTGTGGCTTCTTGGCCTGAGAAAGGCGGGAGCCGCCGCACTGAGGAGGTCCCTGGGCTGCAGGCCTTGACCGCGGGGAACCATGACCGCCGTGGGCCTAAGGTGCCCTGCGCCGGGGTCCCGAGGGTGAGTGACTAAGCCTGGTTCGGGGAGGACCAGCGGCAGGTGGGCATGGTCTAAAGGGGAGATCTGTGACCTTGGGGCAGCTGACAAACCCTGGTGTGGGTTTAGCAACTGGGACTTTTCTGAGTCAGTCTTCTTTGGGTGCAACTCTGTTCCCCACGCTGCCCCACTCCCCGAGCTGAGCATCTCCTCATCTACTCTCAACAGTCCTAGGAGAGAGTATTACCCCAACTTCGTAGATGAAGAAAGAAAGGTTTGCTTGCCTGTTTAAAACAGCTAGTGGAAGTGAGAACCAGGGTTTGACTCCACGTCCTGGCCACTAACATATTCCCCTCCCGCAGGACCTCGGAGAAAGGGTCTTGAGAAACCTCGACAGTCTAGAACCCAGCCCAAGCCTTTCTGCCCTATGGGCAGATGCTGTTGGTCCTGGAGGTGCCTCTGGCATCAAGCCTGGCCTGGAGCTGATCAAGGAATGGAGAGATGGGGCTGGGGGGATGGAGGAGGCGGCAGGTTACCAGTCCAAATTTGCCCCTTCCTGGTACCCTGGGACCCAGTGTCCCACCTGCCTTTAGGGAGTTGAATATTTCTTCCAGGAGTCCCTGAATCTCAGCCTGGGTATCAGGAGAGCAGCCTTTGGTGCATTATCTCAGGTTAGCCCTGTCCCATGCTGGGCCTTTGGCTCCCTAATAGTCCACATGGGCCTGAGATGGCCTCTGAAGATCCATACAACTGTGGAGGAGGGCACGTGAGAATTGCCAGTGAGCAAGATGCGCGCCCCCCTTCCTGAAGGTCCCCAGGGGGCCATTCTAGTGACTGGTCAGGGAGCAGCTTAAGCTGGGGAGATAGTGTCCCTCCCCCACCCCTGGGAGGCAGGGTGCACCTGGAGCTAGAGGAAGGAAGGGGAAGAGGTGAGGCTGCAGGAGTTTCCTGGTGCCCTGTTCCCTGCTGAGATCATGGAAGATGAGGAAGAAGGAGGGAGGAGGGACCTTTGTCTCCACCTAGCCTGCCACCCACCGCCCAAGGACTACAGCCTTCTGCAAGGAAGTATCAGCCAGGGCCCTGGCACTCCGCCCATGTTATAGAGGAGGAGGTGAGGCTCAGAAAGGGAAGGAAGCCCCTCTCCCCCAGGAATTGTCAAACCAGTGTCCCATCAGAGATGATCACAATCCAGTCCACAACTGGCACTTGATGGGGCTTGGGAAGTGGACACCGCTATTGCTCCATTTCACCAGTTTTACAGATGACGACATTGAAGAGGTTAACACTTGTGATCACACCATCTGTTGAGTTAGCATTTCATTCATTTTAATATTTACTGAGGTGCATTTATGCCTCAGACCTGTCCCAGGTTCAGAAAGACAGCAGTGAGCACAGCAGATAAAACTGACCCTTGTGAGCCATCATTCCAGTGCAGGGGAGGGAGACAAATGGTAAACCAGATAAGAGAAAAGAGCTACCAAGAAAGTTTCAAATCCAGTGAGGGTTGGTCTGGAAAAATGTCTCAGTGAGAAAGCAATGTTTGAACAAAGCAGATGAAGGACTAAGAGCTCTTGCTCTCTGGGGAGGGGTGTGCTGGTTAAGGCAAGAGTGTGTGCACGAATGAATCCTGAGGTAAAAGCATCCTTAGGAAGTTTGAGGAACAACAGAGACCAGAGAGGCTGGACCAGAGCAAGATGGGAGAGATGGAAGAGAAATCAGAGAGGAAATAGGTTTATTTTTATTTATTTATTTATTTATTTAGATGGGACTGGGATTTGAACATAGGGGTTTCATACTTACAAAGCAAGTGTTCTAGCACTTGAGCCCACTTTCAGTTCAGGAAATGAGTTTAGATAATGCAGAGCCTGGAAGGTCCTAGCAAGGACCTCACTTTGACTCAGCAAAATGGGAGCAATGACTGGAGGAGGACCCCACTTTAACTTTAACTTTAACTTTATTTTAAGGGAACTTCTCCCCTTACAAGGATCTGAACACAGCTCTGCTTGGTGGTATCTCCCCAAGTGTCCTTTGCCTCCCTCCTGGAGATCCAGACTCCCACCCCCCAAAAGGGCTGTTTGGAAGGCAACTGAGCCTGGAAGAAGGTGGCACAAGGTGGCACACTAAAGGAGAGCTGAGGTACCCTGTGTTGCCCCTACCCCAGCCCTGGTGCCAGGCACTGAGAACAGGCCAGGACACCCCGCTCTCCCCATTTCCTTTTGGAATGTTGATTCTGATCCAAGAATTCCCAACTCTCCCCAGCGTCCCACGACCCTCGGCCCTGCAGAGTGACGTCAGCTGCTTGGCATCTGGTAGCGATTACCCACCATTGGAGGGGGTCGTGGAGGGGGTTGCAGTGGGCCCAGCCTGTGCAGCTTCTTTGGGCTCTGGGCAGCTGGTCCTTGTCTTCTGAAGGGGCCCAGCTGCTCCTGGCTCTCATTTCCTGTGGATACTTTCTCACAGTCCCCGAGACCCCCGGACGCCTTGGGCTGTGGGAACTGATCTGACTCTCCGGAAGGATGGGCTGTTCCCCCTACTGTCCCACCACCCCCAGCTGGAACCACATCCCCCAACCCTCAAGGGACCCTGTTTGCAGGCTGCTGGGCCTGTAGAGGGTGAGAGCTGTGGGGACAGGAGTTGGATACCCCAGCGGCTCAGATATCCAGTGTATGTCCTCCTTTAAGCAAGTCCCTTCCCTCTCTGAGCCTCAGTTTGCCCATTAGGAAACTGGGGACAATGATTACATCTGCTGCACAGGTCATAGTGAAGACAGTGAGACGGCAAGTAGGGTTTCCTTTTTTCCTGGGCCTGAATTAAAGAAGCTCAGGACCCAGGAGCTGCTAGGTTGTGGGGGAGGAAATTGAGGCCCCCCGGTGGGAGTTGCGCATGGTAGGCCTCCTACCTCCCAGCCAGGGCCCTTTGAGAGCCTTAATGGTCTTCTCTCTGTTTTTGTTTTTGTGGTGAGACTGGGGTTTGAACTCAGGGCTTCACACTTGGAAAGCAGGTGCTCTACCACTTGAACCACACCTCCAGTCCATTTTGCTCAGGTTATTTTGGAGATGGGGGTCTCATGAACTATTTGCCTAGGCCGCGATCCTCCCAATCTCAGCCTCCCCAGTAGTTAGGGGTATAGACATGAATCACCAGTGTCTGGCTTGTGCTCTTCTCTCTGTCTACTCTACTTCCTCTCCTCTTCCTGACCTTGGTTCTCTGCACCTGTCTTGGTGGAAATATTTTCAACCAGGAGTGCCTCCCAATTTCTAGGGGCACCTGCTCCCTGCAGGGAACAGGGACTTTGACCGCAGGCTGACCCATTCTAGTCTGAGCAGCTGTGTGCTGGGGTCGGCCTCCCAGTTTCAGTTCTACCTCCCTGCTCTGAGTCTGGGCGAGAGCTCCAGACCAACAGCCTCAGCTTTGCCCAGTCCAGCGCCCTTTCTTGAGCTAGCTGATTGAGTCCCCGCAGCCAGGAGGCCTGAGGGTGCCACACGGTGGAGGAGTGGGGACATGGCTGACTTGGTGGTGCTCATCTGAGGGGGCTGGGGCCGGGCTAAAGCCTTCCTGGCAGGGCCTCCCATGGTCCTGTGGCTGGACCAGGAAGGACCCTTTGCCCCAGACCCTTAAGCCAAAGGCATTCAGAGTAGACAGGTGCCTGCGCTGTTGCTGTCAGAGTGAAGCCCACAGTGAAGGAAACCTCTCTCTCCCAGAGGAGAAGCACAGGTCATGGGTGAGGGAACCTCAAACCCTTCATTCTCACGCCAGCCTCATGGTGCCTCTGGGGAGAGAGTTATGATGTGCCCACTTCACAGGCAGCAAGTTGAGCCTCAGAGAAAAGAATGGGTGGGGTTGGGGAAAGCTGAGAAGCTGGAGGCAGAAGCTAGGGATGCCTCCACTCCAAGCCACCAGACCAGATCCTGAGGCCCAAGGGAACAAAGTGGGGGACAGAGAAGGGCAGATAGGCCTCTGCAGCAGACAAGGCCACCCCTTGTGAAGGAGAGCTTTTCCCCACCTCTTCTTCCCCAGGATCCTTGGGGGCAGCTTGCCATTCCTTTGGCCTGGGGCTGGGGTCTCCTGAATGTGAAGTTCAGACTTAAATATGCATTGGGAAGTCAAGGATAATGGGCTGTAATTACTACTCATTAATGCAATTAATTAAGCAATGTATGCAATACATGGTATCAATGATCAGAACAAATCAGCTAATACAGGCAATTAAAGGGGTTGGTTATTTAAATAATTAATGTGGCTGATTAATGGGCCTGATTTAGATCAGTTGTCACTATTATTTATTAATTAATTTCACCACTAAATATCAGAGGGGATATTGTTTGTTTTTAGTGGAACTGGGGTTTGAACTCAGGGCTTTGTGATTGCAAAGTAGGTACTTTACTGCTTGAGTCACACCTCCAGTCCATTTTGCTCTGCTTATTTGGGAGATGGGTTCTCATGAACTATTTGCCTGAGCTGGTCTCGAAACACAGCCTCCCAAGTAGGTAGGATTATAGAAGTGAACCACCTGCACCCACCAGGAAGTGTCTTTTCAGTCCATAAAATAAGAACTTAATTACTCAAGTAGCCCGTATCATTTGTTGGAAAAGTGTTAGACTAAAAAAACTTAAGTTTTTATGAATGGGTGCTTTAATTCCTGGATTTGATCATTACAGTGTGAAGGAAAGTGTTTTAGACACTAAGTAAACTGAGAGCTGAAGACTGAGAAGGAATTAACCTGACCCTAGGGCAGAGAGGGTGGTCCATCAGGTGCAAAGGCCCTGAGGCCACAGGCAATGGAGCTCTTTGGAGGAAGTCTAAGGAGGCTGGAATGCAAGGTAGAGTGAGTGGAGAGAGGAGGCATAGCATCAGAGTCTGGGACAGTCTGAACCAAGAAGACTAGACTTGTTCCACATGGCCGCAGGGGGCTGCTATGACATTCATTCACTCAAAAAGAAATACTAGGGCTGGATATGGATCTCAGTGGTAGACTTCTTGCCTGGCAAGCACAGGCCCTTGGCTTCCATCCATAGCACCTCAAAACCAGGCACTGTTCTAGGCAGAGAAACCAATCCTGCCCCTGGGGAGCAGATGTGCCCATGAGGAGACCATGGACTCCAGATCACATACACACAGATACAGGCTGAGGCACACAATTAAGCAGGGAAGCCTGGTGGGAGGGGCATCAAGGTCACTGTAGCCAGGCGTCACTGGGAAGGGGACATTTAAGTGAAGACCTGAAGAAGGGTGGGGAGGGAACAGAAGGTGCAAAGACCTGAAGGGGTAGTGCTGCCTGGAGGCACGGGTTGAGAGGTGGTGAGGAGCTCGTCTGTGGGAGGCTGTTTGGAGAACCATGGCCATCACTCTGAGTGACACGGATGCCACACCAGTGGGTGGAACAGAGGAAAGCTGTGATCTAACCTTCATTTTCACAGGACTGCTGGGGGCAGAAGGGGTTAAGTGGCCACAGATGGAGGCTGGGAGTCCAGTGGCAATAGTCCAGCAAGATGGTGGATATAAGTGATCGTGGTCACATTGTGTCTTAGATATCTCATAGTGCTGTGCATGGCAAGGGAGGGGATGGACTTGAAGCTTCAGCATGCCCACTGGCTCTGGCCACCCACCCAGACTGGTTCCTGGGGCAGGTGCTCCATCCCCAAGGCTGTGCTCCTGCCCCAGAGCCCAAGGGGAAGTAGACAGGAAGCAAGAGGAAGCGCTGGGTTGATCCTGGTGTCCTGCCCAATCTGTTCCCAGCAGCAGAAGGATTTCCGGACCTGAATGGCCGGAAACATTGGGATGGGACACCTCACCCAGGAAGAGTGGGCAGAGGAGGAGGGTTCCCTACTCTATCTCACATCCACTGCTTCTGGACGGAGATTATCCAAAAGGCTACAGCTTAAGGGAACAATAGCTAGATGTCAGGAAAGACTTTCTAAGATAGTGAATGACAAGGGATTCTTCTAGGTGGGGTGGTCAGGAAGGTTTTCTCTGAGGAAGGACTTTAAGCAGAGCCCTGAATAAAGTGAGAGCAGGAATAAACCACATTCAAATCTGGGGGAAAAGAGCATTCTAAATAGCATTCTTAGCTGTGCAAAGGCCCTGTGGTAGGAATGAGTTGGCAAGGAGGCTAAGGCAGCTAGAGCACAATAAGGGATAGAATGATTGAAGGAGTCATGTTGGAGCCTGGTGAGGTACTCAGTCAGGCACCACAGCACACAGGACCTCATAGGTCAGGAGCATATGAGCCAGTTTGTGCCTGTTTTCTAGAATAATAGTGCTACCCCATTTACTCTCACAAAGGAAGGGGAATCTGATTTGGATGATAAATTACATTGCCATGGAGGGTAGTACAAGCTTTGTTCTTCAAGAGATGGGAGAGCTGGGGATGTGGCTCAGTGGCAGAGCACCTGCCTGGCCTGTGCAAGATCCTGGGTTTGATCTTCAGCACTGGAAAAAAAATATTTTTAGCCAGGTATGGTGGCACACAGCTGTAATTCCAGCTACTAGGGAGGCTGCGGCAGGAGGATTGCTTGAGCCCAGGAGTTCAAGAACAGCTTGGGCAATGTAGCGAGACCCCATCTCTAAAAGAAAGAAAGATGGGAACCTGGAGCTTGGGTGGTAGAGGTGTGCAAGATCTGCTTTGGTCATAACCTTGGGTGTTGTCTTGTGGCAGAGCAGATGCTGATGTGTGAGTAGAGACATAGGGAACCATCCAGAAGGTTGCCATGTGCTGCATGGGAGAGACAGGGATGACCCGGTTGAGGGAGAGGGACACAGGGAGAGAAGTGGTCAGGGTCCATTCTGAAAGGAAAGCTGCGGATTTCCTGATGGACTGGGTGTGATAGGGGAGCCAAACAGAGGAGGCACCATGGTCCAAGGCTTCTGGCCAAGGCAGCAGGAAGGATGGAGCTGACATAAGCTGAGCCAGGGAAGATGAAGATGGTATGGGAGCAGGTGGACAGGATGGAGGACCAACAGCTTTGCTATGTGTGACAAGTCGAAGATGCCTTCAGACATCCAAGGGGAGCTTTAGAAGGCAACGGGGCCAGGTGTCCATCTGGTGTGGAATCGGTCGGCCCAGGCTGCATCAGAGGAGGGATGGCTATGTCATCCTGTAAGGCCATGTCTGGGGGAAGTGGCTCACAGTGGCCTTCATGGGGAAGAGGAAGGCTGTTTGGTCTGCATCCTGGAAAAACAGCCACCTCTAGCCTCCAGCCGCTCCAGGCACCATCCCTACCAAGCTGAAGGCAGAGGGTATCTGCTGTCCCTAGCAGAGGCTCCCACTGTGCTGGGCAATGGCAAAGGGCAGGAGGAAGGGGATGAGCCCCTACAATGTTTAGAGCTGGAGGCAGCAGCAGGATGGAGGAGGCAGGGAGGAGGAGAAGAAACTGGAGAGTGTGGTGTCCCAAACAGTGAAGAAAGTGATTAAGGAAATAGGCCCATGTTAAGCAGGTGACATTCATTACTCTGAATTCTCAAACAACTCAGTTAGACTGAGGTCATCATCATTCCTGCTTTACAGATAGGAAACCCAGGCTCAGAGAGGTTAAGAGATTTGCCCAGGGTTGCACAGCTGGGGAGTGGAGAAGCAGCCGGGCCAGCGACTCTAGCTGCAGCACCCCTCCTGCCTTCAGGATGACCCCTGTAGCCCCCCAGGACCAGGTGCTAGCCCCAGGCAGGTAGGCAGAGGACTGAAAACTAGGGAACCAAGCAGGGTTGGAGACACTCACCTCTCTTATTTCCTTCCAGGGCTACTGGAGAGCTGGAGGCTGCTGGAGACTATGTGAAGGTAGGAGGGGCTGGGCTGGGAGGTTGGTCAGAGGACACCAGAGGACTTCAGAGCCTTTAGGACCCAGACCTCAGTGTCCCCAGGAGGAAAGAGTCAGGGGTCTGGCAGTGCTGGGGATCTAGTTTCACTCTGAGCAGCTTCTTCCCTTGCCTGCCATCATTGTTTGCTGACTCCAAACTCAGAGCATCTCAGTGTTTGTTGCTATCAGGCCCCACACACCTGGACAGGGCCCCCCAGGACAGCTCCATGCACAGGCTGGATGCTCCGATCCCACCCAGTCTGTGTACATCTACTGTGGCCTGGCGCTGGGAGGGGACAGCAGGAAGAGATGACTCAGATCTTCAGCACAGTGGGCACAGGTCACATTTATCAAGAGCTTATTTATTTATTTGTTTATGGCGGTACTAGGGATTGAACCCAGGCCTTGTGCATGCGAGGCAAGCACTCTACCATGCGGGCCACACCCCAGCCCTCAAGAGCTGAATTTGTCCTGGGTACTGGGAATGTTCAAAATGCAGTTTTGAAATAATGGTGATAACAATACTACTAAATTTGCCTACTGTATGCAAACCCTGTACTGGCTGCTTGCTGGACACTGGTAGAGACGCAGTTTTCCCGTGAATGAGGTCTTTGACTTTCTCTCATTGGGGAGCAGTGAAGGCTTCATGTGGCCATTTATGGATGGAAACTTGAGTCCCAGAGAAGCAGTGACTTACCCATAGTCACACAGCTATTATAGGGCAGAGCTGAGGTTGTACCCAAGTTTGATCCCCAGACTCAAGACAATGCCCTTGGTCTTCCATCACCCAAAGTCAGGCCGTATGCTAAGAACTGAGCACACTACAGAGGGAAGGAAGAACACTGGACCCTGAGTTCAAAAGGCTTCTGGGCCAGGCAGAGACCAGGGTAGAGTCACACAGTGGTTTGGGCTTGTATTTTATAATCCATTAGATCCAAGTTTTAGTCCCAGATCTGCCACTGAGTTTGAGTGTGTCCATCACCTCTCTGAGCCTCAGTGTTTGCTCATGTGAAATGGGATAGTACAGGGTGCCCAATGAGTACATGTTGATGGAGCAGAGGAAGCACCTGAGCTTGGAACAGGGCAGGCTGGCCTGGCTCCTGATCCCGGGGGCATTCCACCACCCTGAGATGCAGCTGCGGCACCCTGCCTAAGCAGCTATGGTGAGGTGTAATGGGAAACACCCAGATGCTACCTCCCACTATCACCAGCAGGCTCAGATAAGCCATGGAGAAGGGGAGTGGTGACTCTCAGCAGGGAGGTTGGGGAGGGGAGACCAAGGAAGGCTTTCTGGAGAAGGAAGCATCAAAGTCAGGCCATTACAATTGGCCCGCAATATTCTCTGAATGGAGAGAGAGAGAGAGAGAGAGAGAGAGAGAGAGAGAGAGAGAGAGAGAGAGATGCGGTAATGAGTTGGAGCGTGGTCCAGACAGAGCCAGTCAGAAAGGAAGCCCTGCCCAGCTCCTCTCCAGTCCCTTAGGCCACAGGGGAGAGCCAGGGGTCAGGACACACAGGGATGTGTGTTTCAGCACCCAGCTCCCTGGTGAGGTAGTGAGATCCTTGTGAGTATGGTTAGCTGTATATTTTCCTTTTAGTTTACGGAGTTAAAAATGTAGATTAAAACAATCATAAGAAGAATAAAACCTGCTCACTGGAACTGATTACGCAGTCCCCAAAGCCTGAAGTCAAAGGACTGTTTCATTTTTCAAACCTTCCATGGAGGTTGGGATGATAGTTTCCAAAACTTTATCCCTGCCCTGAAGGGCTCACTCCTAAGAGTCAGCTTCCAGAACTCCACCGTTCCCAAATCATGATGAGATTCCTTCAGTTCTAAGGCAAGGATTCCAAAATTCCAAGACCATAAAGGTCAAGGCTTCATCCTCAATGCTTCAGTCATATTTACAGAAAATAAACAACTGGGCCCCAGAGAGGTGGACTCACCTGTCAGAGAGCACACCAGCCTGTCATAGGATTTGGATGCTGGGCCTGATGCCGAACCAGCAAAGGCTCCCTTTTCACTGGAGAACCTATTATTCTAGAACAAAAAAATCCAGATTTTTGAGACATTAAGCTTGAAAACAGTAGCACGCCCTTATTGAGCATTTACTTTAGGTCTGGCACTTTGATGCCTCAGCTCAGCCGCATTCTCAAAGTTCTGTGAGGTCAGTACAAGTCTGAGCTGTTTTCCTAGTCCCGGCTCCCAGAGAATGGGCTGGGGGGGGGGGCTAAGAGTTCGGGGAGAGGCCCGTGAACTCAGGATGGCTCCCTAACCATTAAGCTCAAGGGCTCTGCGCACCCCCAGAGTCAGCCAAACACCCTGCAATTCTGAATCAGAGATGAGAAACGCTGGTCCCTGGGAGATTTCCTCAAGCCACAAAGGATTTGGGCAAACACATACAGGGATTTTCAAGCTTTAGATATGATTTAATTCAGTCTCAGCCGGTTTGGGGGGTCACGGGGGTACAGGGAGGGGTGCGGCGAGCGGGGGAGTCAGGAACCCCCCCATCGCTGGTCCCAGAGTCCTCACTCCATCCTTGTGCCCCCGGTGACACCCCCCTTGGCAAGTCCTGGTCTCGCGCCCCAGTTCTAGGCAGCTTGAGCGTGCGGGACTGGAGCGCGGGGGCCCAGGGGCTGGGAGCTGGGGGCGGGCAGAGGGAGGAACAATGGCCCCCTCCCCTCCCTTCCCCTGGCCGGCTGGAGGGTGGGGTCTCCCCGCCCCGCCTCCCCGCTCCTCCCCCGACAAGGCGATGAGGTAATCGCGCCGCGGAGAGGCACGCGCAGCCGGTGCCCAGCCCGGTCGGTCCCTGCTCCCCTGCCCCGCCAGCCGCCGCCCCCTGCAAGCTCCGGGCCCCGGGCCGCCCGGACCCACCATGACCGAGCGGTGCAGCCTGTGGAGTGCCCTGTCCGCCGCCGCCTGCTGCTTCTACCGCGGCTCCTTCGTGCAGGTGCAGGTGAGGGGGCGGCTCGGCCCCTGTCAGTCTCCGGGCTGGGACCCCCAACCGCTCAGGAAAGCCAGAGCCGCAGCCCGGTGCAGCCCCGCAGGGTCCGGCCGGGCAGGGGCAAGGGGCTGAGGGAGGGGGCGGGGTCGCCCCAACCTCACCTCGGGGCGCCCAGACTCCGCGGGGTGAGGGTTCAGCGGCCACTCCCGGGACTCCTGGCTGCGGGGAGGCAGGTCCTGTCCTGCCTCCTCCGCATGAGGGAGCGGAGCCGGGACTTGGGTACCGGGAGTTGGGGTCCCCGACGTCCTGGGGGTCCTTCAGCCAGCACTTGGGTCCCTGGGGCTGACCCAGGCAACCTGACTCCCCATTGTACCGGGGACGCTGGACTGAAGGCTGAGTGAGGGGCAGAAAACTGCGGAGGATGCTGCGGGTGCCATGGCTGGGGCCAGAGCACTTGCCAGCCTCCTGCCGTCTAGGTGGGCACGGGAATGCTTGGGGCGCAGGTCTCCCAGCCCAGCTGCCCGGCAGTGCAGGAGCGCGCCACGGCGGTGAGGGGGTTAAACGGAAGGGGGTGGAGGGGAGGACCTGGACCCCGCCTCTCTGCGGAGCATCATCTGGAGGATGGCTTTGCTAGGGGTTGGGATACCGAAGGGAGCTAGAGGGTGGTTGCTGGGCACCGGCTGGTGGGAAGGGGTTGAGACCCTGACCAGGGGTCTCCACGCTCCTGCCTTTCGGGTCTCCTGGGAGATGCCAGGCGCCTCACCTCTGCGCTCCCCCAGCCTCACACACACGCTTGGAGCCCGCCTGAATGACGGCCCCGCCGGCTGCGGAGCGCAGCATCCCCGCACTGGCCAATCAGGCGTGCACAGGCCGGGAGGCGGTGAGATCATCTTTGGCCAATAGCAATGCACGGAGCGCAGGGATGCTGCATTCGCACCCTGGCTCTCCCTCCCACCCGCCTTGCTCCCGCACCAACTCTTGGGAGCTGGGGACCCCGGGGTCGAGGGTGAGGAGAAGGGCAGAGGGGCTCCAGGGCTCTCCACCCTCACGTGTACCAAAGGACCAAGTTGGTCCCTCCCCCAACTCTCTGACCATTGATTAGGGGTGGAAAAGAGGAGCCCAGCCTCCCAGCGCCCTTTTACAGATAAGGCTACCCAGACAGGGGAAGTGACTGGCTCAAGGTCACACAGTGGCAGAGTCCTTGGGGCAGGTAGATTCCTTAGCATGCTGTGTGAAACCAGAGGAAGTTCTAAGTACATACTTTGTTAAGGAGAAGGACCCCAGAAGGCTGAGTACTGGTCCCTTTTCCTGCTTTTTCCTCTCCAGGGGCTGGTGTGGTGTGAGGATGGAGGCTTCAGCTGGTGTTAACACTTCCTAGTGAAAGGGAGGGGGGCAGAGACCCTCAGGAATAGAGGACCCCTTGGAGTCATGTGGGTATCTGAAAAGAGCTCAGCCTTGGGCCTCTCTGCCTTCCTGGGTATCAATTTCTACTGTGGGCAAAGGATGTACAGAATTCCGGTCCTTATGCTCTGTCTTTCCCCTGAGCACCTGTACAACCTACCTACATCCACCATCTGTTCCAGAGCCCTTCAGGCTTCTGGAAGTCCAAATTTTTGTAAGCCCACACCAAACTGCTCCAGCGCCAACCTTGCCCACCTCAAAGAGGGTTCCAGCATCCTCCCAGGATTTCCACTGGAGTCCTTTCTGACTCCTCAGCCCTGTTTCCCCACACTCCATCAATGGCCAACCAAACACTCCTTCCCTGATTCCTCTGCCCACACCACACCCTGCCCTGTCATTGCCTGAAGATATGAGCCACTCTTCACAGCAGATGAAGTTGCCCCAACACTTAACATCCTTCCGTGGTTCTACAGTGACCTCCAGTGATCCTCAGAAGATCTGGCGCACATGCCTTACCATCTTTGAAGCTTTTCATCTATCTCACTCCCTGACCCAGACTCTTGGCTCTGTCCCCACAGCCCTGACTTTGCCACTCTTCCTGCAAGCTCTTTCCTGCCCACCTGCTTCCCAGTACTTTTGTTTGGATTCCCCAGACCTTATCTGGCCTCAGTTGAAAGGTTACCTCTTTAGGCAAGGGACCCCTGACCTTGCCTCTACTGGTTAGGGGGGTTCTTTGAATATTCAGAAAACCTGGGGGTGAGTGTTGGTATCTGCATGAGCTCCCCCAGGGCAGATGACCTTCCTGGTTGTCTTGGATCTCAGTCCCAGCACAGGGCCCAAGCAGGGACTGGTAAATGTTGAATGAATGGAGCTGGAGAGTCTAGATATCCCTGGAGCCAGAATCTTGGTGTCAGCGAGCAGTGCAGATCAGGTACATCCAGGCAGCACAGGAGCAGAGAGGTGGAGAACGGAGATACCAACAAGGCCCTGTGGCAGAGCTGAGGAGGCAAGGCATGGCCTGCAGGATGCTCATGCTCTGGGGAGTCAAAGTTGCAGGAAGAGACTCACCTTTACTGCCCTTCCTAGTTTGTCCCCTTCTGGCCATCTCTGAGATCTGTCTGTCCTAGAGCAGCTGTCTTTGGGGACTGGAGTTGGGGGAAGGCAGAGGAAGGACAAGGATATCTGTGTGTTAGTTGCAGTGCTCTGGAGTGTTGTTTCCTTTCATCCTGATTTTGGGGTGAAGCAGGTCCTGTCATTGTACCCATTTTCCTGAGGAAGAAGTTGAGGTCCAGACAACTCACATGGCACAGCCTGCATTGGGCTAGACTCTGTGGTGGGGGTGCACCTGACAGTAGGGCTCTCTCCCTCCTGACCTTAGGACCCCTGGGATTAGATAACCTCTAACTTTAGACCACAGTAACCAGGAAACAGGAATCTCCCTTTGGGCAGGTAGAAAAGTGGTGTCCTGGCATTATTTTCAGTGAGCAACCTTGGACTTCCCTGCCGGGCTGCTGTTTCAGTATCTGGCAAGGACTGCTTGAGGTGGCAAGGGGGGCAGGCCTTGAAATTCTAATGGGCAGTGAAGATGTCTGTGCAGGTCCTCTGTCCGTTTTGGTTGCCTCCCCCACCCTTGCACTGTATGCGATTCACTATCTAGGAATGTATCCTTGTCTATGCCTTTGCCTGGGTACCTGCCACCTTTCCTCTCAGACTCACCTGTAGAAATCCTCCCTCTCTCACTTCCAGATCAATGAAGATGAGCTGGAGGCATAGCTTAAGTAGCAGAACACCCTGCCTAACAACTGCAAGGACCTGAGTTCAAACCCCAATACTACCAACCCCCAACCCCCACCCCCAAAAAAGAAAAAAGTTAAGATCACAGTGGTGTCCTTGGTGCATAATGAATTTTTTTTTTTTTGGTAAGACTGGGGTTTGAACTCAAGCCTTCATACTTGCAAATCAGGCACTCTACTGCTTGAGCCATCCCTTCAGTTCATTTTGCTCTGGTTATTTTGGAGATGGGGTCTCTCCAACTACTTGCCTGGGCTGGTTTTGAACCACAATCTTCCTGATCTCAGCCTCCCAAGTAGCTAGGAGTACAGGCATGAGCCACCAATGCCTGGCAATGAATGTCTTTGTATTGCCATCTCCTCCAGGCAGGCTTCCCAGACCTGCCCAGCCTTCCAACCTCTCCCAGATTTAGCCTCCTCCCTTAGAAAAGCCACGGTTCTCTGCCGCTGTCCAGCACTGTGGTGCTGACTGCAGCCTCCTCAGATGTTGCTGGTGCCTCCTAGCCTAGGGGCTTCCATGAAGACAGAGCTTGGCTTATTTATCACTGCCTCCACTCCTGGCACACAGCACAGGGCCTGGAATACTGTGGGCATGGTTTTTAGTGGAACTAATTGAGATTTCTTTACTCTAGCTAGGATCGGACCCATGGGTAAGGATCTTTCTGGCAGGTGTCTATTGTTCTCAGTGTTCACCTGGGGTAAGGTAAAGTCACAAGGGAAGAAACCAAGGGGCTTAGAACTGGATACCAATTCTCTCTGTTTCCCACTCAGTTCTCCAAGGAAAAATACATTCTGGACTCCTCGCCAGAAAAACTGCACAAGGAGCTGGAGGAAGAACTGAAGCTTAGCAGCACAGACCTCCGCAGCCATGCCTGGTACCATGGCCGCATCCCCCGAGAGGTGAGCAGACCCTGGGCTGGGACCTTAGCCCTGGACCCTCCCACCCATGCCTCTGCCAGTCCCAGTGCAGCTCTGGTCGCCAGAGAGTCTCTGATCTGTTGCTTGGCAGGTTCGATCCCAGAGAGCAGGATGAAGTCTAGCTCTGCCATTTATTGGCTATGTGACCTTGAAAGAGTTGCTTCATGTTTCTGAATCCCAGAATCCTCATCTGTGACATGAGGATAACAATAGTATTCACTCCAAGGGTTGTTATGAAGATTAAGTGAAGTAATGCAGGTCAAGTGCTTGACGTGATGCCTGACACCAGTGAGCTCAATGAAAGTTGGCTTTGTTGTTATTGTTACTCATTTTTATTGTAACGGTCTAGCTATCAACCTCTTGTATGTTTGGTTAGTGAATATCTACCCTTGGACTACTCAGTTTTCGCCAAGTTGAGTTTCTGGGCTGAGGTAACTTTATAAACCACAGTCCTGGGCTGACCGATCACCTGTTGCTTCATTATATATCTTGGCCAGCACCAACCCTTCCAGGATCTGGGCTGGACACTGGGGATGCAGAGATGGAAAAGGTGGTGAATTTCCTGGAGGGTTGGTAGCCCTGGGTTGTGGCTGACAAGTGGTACACAGTCAGAGACCAAAGGGCAAGTGGAAGAATGGAGAGCCCACGCAGATGCAGGCAAGCCCTGGCACTGAGGAGGGAAGCCCCTGCAAGATGGGCAGGAGCTCACCAGTGTGGTTCAGGCAGAGAAAGCAGCTAGAGGGTGCAGAGGCTAAGTTGAGCCAGGGCCCTGGGTGTTTAGAGAAATGAAGACCTGGAATTTACTCTGTCTCATGGGATTTTGAGAGAAGATGGATCTGAGACCCTGGTCTCTGATCAGTGTGACCCCAGCATTTCCAGGCCCTGAGCCTCTGTGACATTCATTCCAAAGCATTGCATCCTCACATTCCTGAGTATCCATGTCCCAGACTTGGCCCCTGGCTGAGGTGGCCACTCAGAGTCTGGATCATGGTATCTCTGGTCCCAGGCTTTAGATGTCCAATGTCTCTGTTCACTGGATTCTCCATACCCTGGGTCTGGTCTCTGTGTCCCTCCAACCCTGAGTCACGGTATCCCCGAGCCTGGGTCTAGCCCTCTTCTATCCCCACCATACTCCAGCCTGTCCGTACCTCCCGCAGGTCTCAGAAACCCTGGTGCAGCGCAATGGTGACTTTCTCATCCGGGACTCACTTACCAGCCTGGGGGACTATGTGCTCACCTGCCGCTGGCGCAACCAGGCCTTGCATTTCAAGATCAACAAGGTGGTGGTGAAGGCAGGCGAGAGCTATACCCACATCCAGTACCTGTTTGAGCAGGAGAGCTTCGATCACGTGCCTGCCCTCGTGCGCTATCATGTGGGCAGTCGCAAGGCTGTGTCAGAGCAGAGCGGAGCCATCATCTACTGCCCTGTCAACCGCACCTTCCCACTGCGCTACCTTGAGGCCAGCTATGGCCTGGGCCAGGGCAGTGGCAAGGCTGCCAGTCCTGCCAGCCCCTCAGGTTCCAAAGGCAGCCACATGAAGCGGCGCAGTGTCACCATGACTGACGGGCTCACTGCTGACAAGGTCACACGCAGCGATGGCTGCCCTACCAGGTCAGCCAGGACCTCACACTAGGGCTCCTTCTGTCCATTTGTCAAACGGGGGTGGCAGTAATGAGAGTGCTGGTGAGGAAGGGAAGGCCCAGCCACTGAACAGGTGAAAGGTTACTGTCCCAGGGCCTCTATGCAGGCAGAACCAGAGGAGGTCTTGTCACTCACTGTGGAGACCTGGGACACAGGTGTGCAGGGAGGTTGTGGTGCCCCCACCCTGTCCCTCTTCCTCTGTCACCTCCATGTTTCTAGTTTGGAGGGCCCTCACTCCAGCAGCCCTCTCTGGCCAAAGGGCAGCCCTGGGTACTGTCCTGAACCAGAGGGTCCTGGCCTCCGTGCCATCCTTCCCCAACACCAGCTAGGCTAAGGCAGAGGGCTCTGCTGCATGGAAACGCACAGAGTGGGATGTCTTCAGCAACATTTTAATGAAACTTGGCTGTCTCTGGGATTAGGTAAGACCAGGCCTCAGAACCCAGCAAAAGCTGCAGCAGCTGAGGTCCCAATGTGCCTGTCCCTGTGCTGAGTGCTGTCATTGCTGATCTTATCAACTCCCACTTCCCCTGGAAGGGAGTCCTGCGCATCCCCCATTTTATAGGCTTAGAAAGGAGATGCCAATTGCTAGTGAGTGAGTGGTAGGATTCAGATTCGAACCCAGGTCTGCAGACTCCAAAGCCTGTGCCCTTTGTTCCTGTGGCTTTCTTTGATTGTTTGCAGAGAGGTCCACTGTCCTGTGCCATCAGCACTGGGACAGGCCCTCGTTCCCATCTCCCTGGGCCCAGGTTGGGTGCTGCCAACCGAGGACTTAATAGATGGCTAGCTTGAGGCAACAACCTGTTGGCCCATGGTTTGAAACAAGTGAACACAGTGGTGCCAGGACCTACAGGCCACGTGTGCCCGAGGTACAGAGCATAGAATGTGGGAGCAGCAAGACTGGCAGGCTTGGCTCCCTCAGGATCCCCACCTTCCTGCTAGCCCTTCTCCCCAGATAGTTCTCCAGTGTTCTCTGGGCAAGATACCCAGGGAAGGGAATAGTTGTGCAGGCTGTGGACTGCACAAAGGCTTCTGTCCCAGTGGGCACAGTAAGGGGCTAAAAAACCCTACTGCCTTCTTCTTATCATACCAAGAGCACTAGTAATGGGCTGTGTCTGTCCAGAGAATGGGTGCAGTTGTCTAATTTGCACAAAGGCACCTTGTGCAGAGTTCTGACCTGTGTGTCCCTTCCCATCCTCCTAGGGGCAGGAGGCACAGAGGAGCCTGAGAAGCCTAAGCTTAGCTAGGTGTCCCCAAACCTGTTCTCTCAGGCTGGTTTCAGCTTTATGAGAAGAGGATTTGAGGTAGGGATGAAGAGAGAGAGCAGGGTAATGTGGGGGTACTGGCCTGTGCCACCTGAAGGTTGAAGATACCATATTCTTGCCTATCCTGCTGTGCCACATTGGCCCAGCCCTTCCTCCTCTGGCCTTCAGGTTGTGTACCTGTCTCTTGAGAGACTGAACTTGATAATCCCCAAGCCTTTTCTGCCTCTGAAGTTCAGGGGGCACAGGTGGGTGTCCCAGAAGTTGGCTGAGGTCTCTGACCTCTGGCTCCTGCTCATGGAAATATCTGTCCCCAGCACATCACTGCCCCATCCCCGGGACTCCATCCGCAACTGTGCCCTCAGCATGGACCAGATCCCAGACCTGCACTCGCCCCTGTCCCCCATCTCTGAGAGCCCCAGCTCCCCCGCCTACAGCACTGGTAAGGCCAGCAAAGGGGCTGGGGCAGTGGGGGGGGGTCTGTGTTTGGGGATTTCTATTACCCATGGGTCAAACATCGCATTTCTGCCACTGTTCTGGGAGCAATGCCCTACAGGAATGTCCTTCAAAACCTCGAGCTGAACTGCTGGTGTTGACACATGAGATCTACCCGTGGCTTGCTCATTCAGTAATGATTTATCGAGTTCCTACTGGGTACTAGGCACTGTGCACGAAGTGGTTCCTAGTGTGTGTGCCAGGATCAATGGAGTGTGCTAGAGGCCCAGCATGGCATGGGGCTGGGCCCCAATCCTGTCACATGCCCTCACACAACCCTCAGCCCCCGAGGATTGAGTTCCTCCTGCATTGGCCAGTACTTGGGGGACAAATCACAAGCTTAGACCAGGTTGGCTATGCGTTGCTTTAAAAAAAAATAGATTTTAAAATTTTATTTATTTATTTTAGAGTGGTTTAACGTTTATAACAAAACTGAAAATACGGAGCACCATGCTTATAAATACAAAGAATGTGTTCCCAGTTCATTTTTGGAAAACAAACAAAAGAGCCTGTTTCAGCATGTCGTATTATTCACATAGCAGGCAGAGTGCTCTGTTGGAGCATTACTGTCTATATGAGTTACCATGAATCCTTCCCTAAATACAGGGCCATCAACTCTGTCATAACATAAACTTGCCTTCCAAATAATAACTTCCAGTATAAACTTCTATTACCAGAAGTGTGTTATGGGACAATTTCTAAGTCATGTAGCATAGTTGAGAAGCTCAGAGATAAAGACTTAAAATCATAGCTCTACCACTTGCTGGCTGGGTGAAGTTGGGCAAGTCACTTAACCCCTCTGAGCCTCACTTTTCTCATTGGTAGAATGAGGTTCATACATAAATATCCTTACTTCACAGGACATTGAGAGGGTTAAATGGATGGATGTACAAGGAAGGATCTTGCACCAGTAAGAGCTCAATAAATGTCACCTCTGGTTTTCGTTTTGTTTCTGTGGTGCGAGGATTGAAGCCAGGACTTCCTAAATGCTAGCAAGCACTGTACCACTGCTCTTACTTCTGACTTTTTTTTTTTAAGCAGGGATTGAACTCAGGGCCTCACTTTTGCTAGGCAGGTGCTTGGCCACTTGAGCCACTCCTCCAGCCCTCATCTCTGGTTTTTGATGGTTTTATTGTTGACCAGTATATTCCTGGTGTGTCACCAGCTCTGAGCACACAACATATATCCAGTAAATCATTACTGTAATTCATTGAGAAATAATTGCAGTGAACTCCAGCAAGTGCTTAGCTTCCCAGGACTGCCTGCAAGTAGTTCAGTGGCTCCCCAGGCTCCAGTGGCCTCAGGGCAGGAGAGCGCCAGCTCCTGCTGTCTGGGAGATGGTGGAGTATTACTGAAGGGCAGTCAGTTTGCTAGAGGTTGCTGGGTCTGGTTGCCTCCATGCAGGGAGATGGGGACATCACCTCCTTGTGAAGGATGGAGCTTGTTCTTTGGGGAACAGGGATGGGGAACCTCACTTTAGTGGGGAGCTGCAGTAACTAGCTCTCTCTCTCTCTTCTCCGCAGTAACCCGTGTCCACGCCACCCCTGCAGTCCCATCTGCCACAGCACTGCCAGCCTCCCCTGTTACCCGCCGCTCCAGTGAGCCCCAGCTATGTCCTGGAAGTGCCCCAAAGCCCCCTGGGGAGTTGGACAAGGGTCCTCATGCCAGTCCCACCCACACCCTCTGCAAGGCCTCTCCATCACCATCACTCAGTAGCTACAGCGACCCGGACTCTGGCCATTACTGCCAGCTCCAGCCTCCTGTCCGTGGCAGCCGAGAGTGGGCAGCAGTGGAGGCCTCTAACCGGCAGGCCAAGAGCTATGGGGAGAGGCTAAAAGAACTGTCAGAAAATGGGACCCCTGAGGGGGATTGGGGCAAGGCCTTCACAGTCCCTGTTGTGGAATCCACTTCTTCCTTCAACCCGGCCACCTTCCAGTCACTACTGATCCCCAAGGATAACCGGCCACTGGAGGTGGGCCTTCTGCGCAAGGTCAAGGAGCTGCTGTCAGAGGTAGACGCACGGACACTGGCTCGGCATGTCACCAAGGTTGACTGCCTGGTAGGTTTTGGGTGTGCACTGGGGTGAGGGCAGCACCTTTGTCCTCTGGCTTTGAAACAGGAGTCAGGGTGGTGAGGAGTTGGCCTCCCAATTCCCCAAGTCTAGTGAGGTGGGTAGGCCTGGATTCTAGCTTTATGAGTATCCTTCACTTGCTCTGTGAGCTGGTCATTTTGCCTCTCTGGGCCTCCATTTTCTCCTTTTAAAAAGCATAAAGCAGCTGGTGGAGGGGCTCAAGGTGTAGGCCCTGAGTTCAAACCCCAGCACCACAAAAAAAAAAAATCATAAAACGAAGCTGAATGTGGTGGTGCACGCCTGTGATTCCAGCTATTCAGGAGGCAGACATGGAGGATCACAGTCCAAGCCAGCCTGAGCAAAAGTACAAGACCCTATCTGAGAGACAAACTAAATGCAAAAGGACTAGAGGCTTGGTTCATGTGGGCAAGTGTGAGGCCCTGAGTGTCTAATCCTCAGCACTGAAAAAAAAAAGCATAAAACAATTCAGGCTGAGGCAGGAGCATGTGGAGTTGAAGACAGCCTGAACCACGTGAGGCCCTGTCTCAAAAACAAACAAACAGAAGGGCTGGAGGCATGGTTCTAGCAGTAAACCTAAATCTGGTAACCCCAGTACCAGCCCCCTTAAAAAAGTATATTAAAAAAAAACCCAAAAGCAAGATATTCTTCCTTCCTCCAGATGTTGGTTTGTCAGTGGAACTGGGCAGTCCTGAGACTCAATGGAATCTGGCACTTGGGGGGCTTCCCCAAGATCTGAGAGCCAGCCTGACAAGAGTGGGCTAATTGGTCCAGGAATTAAAAAAGCTGGACTCACCACCCCCACGCCCCCTAGTGGATAAATAAGCAAAAGTATGCACTCTGCCCATAAATTGTCCATGCCTGAGTCTTTGCTTAGAGGTCTGAAGCTTTGAGTCCCTAAGAGCCCCTGTTCTCTCTGTGCCTCAGTTTCTCCCTCTGCAGTTTGGGAGACACTGATTACCTGGTTACACTAGTTTCATTGCTCAGGAAGTGAGAGACGAGACAAGGCAGAGTGCTCTGGGTGAGAATGGAAGAACCTGGGCTCTAGGCTCAGTGTGTGACTTTGGTTAAGTCCATTCCCTGCTTAGGCGTCAGGTTTTCCCTTTGGAATAAGGGCGTCCGGGTCCTCAACCTTAAGTGAATATTTAACATGTCAGGCACCTCTGGGCATTTTCTACTTATCCTCTGTTTCACAGATGGGGAAACTGAGGCTCACTCAGAATCACTTGCTTTTTGTGACAGGCTTACCGGTGGTTCTAGGATTCAAACCCAGCCTCCCAGCCAGGCTACCTCTTAATAAAAGCTCTCTGACTCCCAGATGGCTTGGACCAGCCCTGACAGGAAATTAATCAGGCCTCTGGGCGTCCTTGCAGGTTGCTAGGATACTGGGCGTTACCAAGGAGATGCAGACCCTAATGGGAGTCCGTTGGGGCATGGAGCTGCTCACCCTCCCCCATGGCCGGCAGCTACGACTAGACCTGCTGGAAAGGTAAGGCAAGCACTGGTCCACGGCGATAGTAGGGAAGGAACCCAAGGCCGCCTAACTCCCTTTGCTGATGCTGCTTGGCCAATTCATCTTAGTCCCGCTCCCAGGGGTTCTGGCCACGCCTCCCATCCCATTGGTCAATCGCAACCTCTTAAGTGTCCAGCCCAAAGCAATCCTGGTTTCCCAAAGACTGCATCCTTTATCTCTGGATTCTCCTTTTGCATCCCCTGTCCATCAGCCTTGGCCTGGCCCTGCCCATCATTTCTGACCTCTCTCCGTTCATTCTTAAAACAGCTCTGCTCATTGAATTCCACTGATCACAAGCCCCAGCGTTCTGGTCCCGCCCCCAATTTACTCTGACCAATCAAAAGCTCTTAAACATGTGCCTCTCGCTCTGGCCGCGCCCCCTAATCCCTTTGAGCCATTACAACCTCTCTGCCCTAAACAGGCAGCGGTGGCAAGCCCCTCCCCCCGCCATTGGCCCCGCCCCCTCTGACCCGGTGGCTCCCGCAGGTTCCACACCATGTCCATCATGCTGGCGGTGGACATTCTTGGCTGCACGGGCTCCGCGGAGGAGCGGGCGGCGCTCCTGCACAAGACCATCCAGCTGGCGGCGGAGCTGCGGGGGACTATGGGCAACATGTTCAGCTTCGCCGCGGTCATGGGCGCCCTGGACATGGCCCAGGTACTGAGGGCCCCCCTCCTTGAGCAGGGCATCCACTAGACTATCTGAAAGAGTCCTGGAGCGCGTGCCTTGGGGACAGTTCTGGACGGAAACAGGAAAAGCTTAGGCAACCTTGGTGAAAGAGTAGCCAGGAGAAACGAGTTGTCTACGACTGTTTTTCCCCTTCTCTGGACCTCAGTTTCCCCACTTGTAAGATAAATGGGGAGAATTCTGAGTTTAAAGAACTCACATCGGCTGGCAAAGAGGTCTGCCTAGCAAGCATGAAGCCCTGAGTTCAAACCCCAGTGCTGCCCCCCACAAAAAAACCCTCATAAAATGGCCATCATTTAGTGAGCACTTACTATATCCTAGGTGCTACACTAAGTCCCAGGAGTGGTCCCTCAAAACCATCTCATGAGGTAGGTGCTTTTATTGTCCCATTTACAGAGGAAACAATTGAGGCCACACTGTCCCAAGCTGAAAGATTTAGGGATTTGAACGAGGGCTGGGTGACCTGAGTGTGGGCCTTACATTTCACTGACTTTCCTAGGCGTAATAAGTAGAACCACAGGCGCCTGGGGCAGTGCTCTGGGTTCAGTTCCCAGATCTGCCACTTATATTCAGGGTAACCTTGAGCAAATCCTTCCCTTCTTTAAGTCTTGGTTCCCTCATCTGTTAAGTCAGTTGCTGTGATGGCCTTGTGGGAGATGTGAACAGAAGTCAGTACTGTCCCTGCTTCATGATTGGTGGCCAGAATAATTATTGGTCCACAGTAGGGTGGCCTGTGGCCAGCAGCCCGGGTAGACTCCTTCCCTGGCTAGTCTCTCACAGTCTGGTCTCCTCAGGTCTCCCGGTTGGAGCAGACATGGGTGATGCTGCGGCAGCGATACACGGAGGGTGCCATCCTGTACGAGAAGAAGCTCAAGCCTTTTCTCAAGAGCCTCAACGAGGGCAAAGGTACCTCCCACCTTGCTGTGTGACTTTGGACAGGTCCTAGACCTCTCTGGGCCAGCACACTCTCCCCATGTGGATGATGATGACTTGGGTTCACTTTCCAAATGGGTCAACCATGAAAGCCATGCCCAGATCCATGTTCAGCCCTAGAGGTTGTGTTTGCCTTGGGAATCTGAGAGGAAGAGTTTGTCCCAGGAATCAGGAACCCTGGGGAGGCTCTCTCTGGGATCTCAGGTAGGCCCCTGCCCCTCAGCTCAAGGACTGCAGTGGAAGCAGCACCCTCTGGGGGCTCTAAGCATTCACTATCTCTGTACCCCTGCAGAAGGCCCACCACTGAGCAACACTACCTTTCCCCACGTGCTGCCACTCATCAGTCTGCTGGAATGTGACTCGGCCCCTGCAGAAGGCCCAGAGCCCTGGGGTAGCACGGAGCATGGCGTGGAGGTGGTGCTGGCTCACCTGGAGGCTGCCCGCACAGTAGCACACCACGGGGGCCTCTACCACACCAATGCCGAGGTCAAACTGCAGGGTGAGTGGTGGTCACATCCGGAAGTCCCTCTGTCTACACTGCTCCCCTCTTCTCCAAGTGTCTGTTTGCATTTCTCATCCTTTTGTCCTGCCCTGTCTCCCTCACACCTTTCTCTCACCCCTTTCTTCACTTACTCATAATACAGTGAGTAATTGTTAGTGAAGGTGCCAGGTGGGGTGGGCAGATGCAGAAAAGAGAGCAACCAAGCTGTGTGTCTCACCTTCATTTGGCCTCAGTGTTCTTATCTGTGAATTGGGCATCTGATAGACATGTTTCCAAGCTTGTTTGCAAGCCCAGCCTGTCCAGCCTGGGCTCTGGTGTGGAGCCAGAGCTGCTCAGTCTTCAAAAAGCTCAATCTGATTGAACATAGAACTTCCTCTGGGAAAGGGGCAGGAAGTGGCTTTATATAATCTTCTACTGCTTTTGGCATTATTTAAGTCACAAAAATTCACTGGAAACAAATTAGAAATCACAGCTGAGCAAAAATAAAATTTAGTCAGGCGCTGGTGGCTCACACCTGTGATCCTAGCTACTCAGGAGGCAGAGCTCAGGAGGATTGAGGTTCAAAGCCAGCCCAGGCAAATAGTTTCACAAGACCCTATCTCAAAAATAACCTTCACAAAAATAGGGCTGGTGGAGTGGCTCAAGGTGAAGGCCCTGAGTTCAAGCCCCAGTACCACAATAAGTAAGTAAATAAATACGATTTTTAAAAATTACCCACAATTACCCAGAGGTAAATGCTGTGAATATTCTTGTATATCTTTCTCACCTTTTTCTTTTTCAGAAAGGAAAAATACATTTAGTATTTACTTACAAAATATATGTGTTTCTTACAAAAAAAACAGAACTTATAGAAAGATACAAAAAGAAAGAAAGAAAGGAAAATCTTCCAAGATATCCCAAAAATTTAACATTAGCTTAGTGCGGGCGACTCATGCCTATAATCCTAGCTACCTGGGAGGCTGAGATTGGGAGGGTCTCAAGCAAACAGTCTGTGAGGTCATCTCAAGCAAATAGTTTGCAAGACCCCATCTTTAAAATAACCAGAGCAAGATGGATTGAAGTGGTGACACAAGAAGTAGAGAGTCTGCTTTGCAAAGCTGAAAGCCCTGAGCTCAGTGGTAGGGCACTTTTGTCTAGCATGTACGAAGCCCTGGGTTCCATCCCTACCAACACACACACAAAAATTATCTTCTAGTCATTTAAATATTGTGTTTTGCAGAGTTGGAGAAAGACTAGGTGCTAATATGTGTGGTCAAGTTCATCAACAAAATTTGTGAGTCCCTGGTGGGGCTAGTGGAAGGTTCCTACAAGTGAGGCCCTAAAGACCATGGTGGCTTCAGCCTCCCCAGCTGGATGGTGATTCTCTGACCCTGTGTCCACTCCCTGCAGGGTTCCAGGCCCGGCCAGAGCTACTGGAGGTGTTCAGCACTGAGTTCCAGATGCGCCTCCTCTGGGGCAGCCAGGGCGCCAGCAGCAGCCAGGCCCGGCGCTATGAGAAGTTTGACAAGGTCCTCACTGCCCTGTCCCACAAACTGGAGCCTGCCGTCCGTTCCAGCGAGCTGTGACCCGAAGCAACCTTTCCCCTCTGCATCTGCAGGCAGCCTCAGGGGGCAGAGGGACACAGGCCTTTTCCCTAGAGCACCCCAAGGACACTGTGATCAGCCCAAGAATTTTCTGGGTTCAACTCCGGGATCTCCCTTGCACCTCCAGGGTCCTATGTGGACTCTGAGCTCCTGCCCTCCACCACACACTCAACAAGCCTCCTTTCAGGAAGGACAGGAGCCCTGTTCCTCCCTCCAGCTTCTGCTGCTCCCCTGCGTGCTGAGGTTCCCTTTTTTTTGAGCCATGGGAGGTTCCCTCATGCCTCCTCCCTCTTCTTCAGGCATCTGTGCCCACAGGCACCGAGGCCTCCATGTTACTGTAAATAAGTCTATCTGTTCTGTAAATAGGTGTACAAAAGACCTACTCTTCCTTTCATATAATAAACTTTTATGATACTTTCTTCTGTCTCAGGGGACCCAGGAGGGTAAAAGGAAGCACTGTTTTTCAGGTGAAAAGTGGAAAACTTCATTCAACAAACATCTGGGACATTCCAGACTGTGCCAGGAGCCAGGATTATAGCATGTGGGAAACCCAGTCCCTGCCTTCCAGGAGTTTATAGACCAGGGGGGAGGTAGACAGCTAGTTCCAAGCCAGTTGGAGAGGGAGTGGTCTGCCCTTCTGCCCTTCTCCTAGCCCATGACCTGCCCCTAGAAGCCGCAGAAACCAGTTCTCACACACACACACACACACACACACACACACACACACACACACAACTAAGGAGCTGAGATGTTTAGGGTGGAAGCACTTTTAGAAATCTAGGATCCCCTCTGCATAACTGAGATCTGGAGGGAGAAAGGACTTGTCCCAGGTCCCAGTGGCAGAACAAGGAAGGCTAATACAACCTGGATGTTCTGAGCCAGAGGATTTTTCTCTCTACAATAGTGGGAAATAGTAATTTTCTTTCTTTCTTTTTTGCAGTACTGGGGTTTGAACTCAGGGCCTCATGCTTGCTAGGCAGGCACTCTACTTGAGCCACTCCACCAGCCCTTTTTTGCATTGGGTACTTTCCAGATAGGGTCTCATGAACTATTTGCTTAGGCTGACTTTGAACTGTGATCTTCCTGATTTCTGCTTTGCAAATGGCTAGGATTACAGGCGTGAGCCACCTGAGCTCGGTTACCAGTTCTTTCCAGGCTTTGAAATGTCCCAGAAGTGTGTGTGTGTGTGTGTGTGTGTGTGTGTGTTGGGGTGGGTGAGGCAGGAATCTTTGAGGCGGGCCATGAGGGCAGTGGGTGGTAGAGGTAGACAACGTGCACCGGCAAACTGGGAACCCCAGGAGTCTGTTTATTGAATTTGAGACGTCTGCGGTCCTTTGAATCTTTTGACCATGAAAGACTGAGGACACATGACATGTGTTAGATCTTTGGCCACAGCCAGATGTGGGTTAGTCCTATTGTTTACTAGCTAGGGGAACTTGGATGAGAGATTTAACCTCTTGGGTTCCAAATTTAATAAAGTGGGGACAATAATGGAACCTATTTCCTAAGATTGGTGTTAAGCACTTAGTGTGTAGTAAGCTAGGTAAGACACAGCCATGTTTCATACATAATGGACTGTCAGAGATCATTTATTGATTATTTTCGGAGCCAAGACACTTTAGGGGCCTGTATCTCATTGAAATATCGCCATTTCTCTGTATAGCAGGTACTATTATATTCTAGGATATGTAAGTCACCTAATGCTAACTCACATAGAAGTGCGCACAAAAAGCTGTTATTAGTGAGCACTCTTTTACCATATAAAAGAAAAAAAGCTTGGAAAAGGCGCTTTTTGCAAGGTATAAGGTTCCGCACAAGTTTTTGTTATAATTGTTACGTCACCCTTTGTGGTCATAATCCTTTATTCTTTCTGAGCTACCGTGATGGTCCCTTGGTTACCGTGGTCATGGAAACGCAGCTTGTAGTCCAGAATCGGGCGGTTCGCGGGCTCCCCCTGGAGGTCACCTTTGGGTACTGTTGCTTGAGAGGCGCGGGAGGGGTGCCGGGAGTTGTAGGCGATGGGCGTGGCTGTCGCGGAGCGGTGCACGCCGAGAGTTGTAGTTCGCAGGTCGAGGCAGTGGGCGGTCCCACATCGAGCTCCGGCCTCTCCCGGATGGCGGCTGCGACGCGCGGCTGCCGGCCCTGGGGCTCGCTCCTCGGGCTCCTCGGGCTGGTCTCAGCCGCGGCCGCCGCCTGGGACTTGGCTTCGCTGCGCTGCAACTTCGGCTCCTTTTGCGAATGCGACTTTCGGCCCGACTTGCCGGGTGAGAGGCTAGGGACCCGGGAGCGGAGAGGCGGGTGGGCGGGGAGCTTGCCCGGAGCCGAAGCATCTATGGGCTTGGAGGGGAGAACCGCGGGCGTGATACGCAGACATGCGGACGGCCAGGGCCAGAAGGAGGCCCATCTGGAGGGACTGGGCTGACAGCCCGAGCTTGGGGGTACGCGTTGGGGTCCCGGGATGGAATGAGGCCTTGACAGTAGGACCCCGGGATGGGTCTGTTAGGCCTCCAGGGAGTGGACCGGCGGTCCAGGGAGAAGCCTCCATCGGGGATGGGCAGGGGCAGACCCTATTGACAGCTTGCGCTCACTTGGGGCTGGCGCAATTTAGAGAACCATCTGATGGGGGCGCTGCGGATCTGAGTCAGGCTGAGGGTGTCCCCTGCAGCCAGAGACCCCCCAAGGATCCATGCCCTGTCCACACTTGGACAAACGTCCCAAATCAGATTCCAGACGTGACTTCCTCCTTGAACCCCTGCCTTTGTGGAGATGTATCCTCAGCTCTGACACCATCGTTCTGTGGCCCTAGGTCTGGAATGTGACCTGGCTCAGCACCTAGCTGGCCAGCATCTGGCCAAGGCACTAGTGGTGAAGTCGCTGAAGGCCTTTGTGCAGGACCCAGCCCCCACCAAGCCGCTGGTCCTCTCCCTGCACGGCTGGACTGGTACTGGCAAGTCCTACGTCAGCTCCCTGCTGGCACACTACCTCTTTCAGGGTGGCCTCCGTAGCCCCCATGTGCACCACTTTTCTCCCATCATCCACTTTCCACACCCCAGTCACATTGAACGCTACAAGGTAGGCTGGACATCGTGGGGCAATAGACCCTGAGGAGTGAGTCCTGAGCCCAGAGAGAGGGGTCACTTACCCCAGCCCACAGAGCCAGTTGGAACCTTAACCCTTAAAATCCATCCTGAACAGAGCTTGTTACTCTACCTGGGCAGTAATGTATCTTATCTACCAGAGTTGTTGTGAGGGACACGGGTTTATGCAATTGCAAGTATTACCTATCGAGCACTTGTGATTTCCAGACGGACAGTTCTCATTACCGAGTCCCTGTAAAGCTCTGAGCCCTGACCAATTCAGGGCTCAGAGGAAGCTCTGAGTACTAGTTCAGTCTGATCCACTTCAGCTGTCAACACTCTTCAGGTTTAGGGAGCAGGAAGGAGCCTTCCCACCATAGAAGAAGCAGGTGTCACAAAAGGAGCCCTGAACAGAGAGGTGGGGTGCTCGGGTTTGTGTCCCTGCTGTGTGATCTTGGGCAAGACTCTGCCCCTCTCTGGGCCAGCCATCAGGTCTCATTAAGGGGTGGTGCTTACTGGGAGAACATATCTCCCTGGGAAGGGGATTAGTTTTTGGCTTGGGAAGAAGTTTGGGGTTGGGGTAGTATCTCCTGTCTGTCCCCTGTAGAAGGATCTTAAGAGCTGGGTCCAGGGGAACCTCACTGCCTGTGGCCGCTCCCTCTTCCTCTTTGATGAGATGGACAAACTGCCCCCTGGCCTTATGAAGGTCCTACAACCGTTCCTGGGCTCCTCCTGGGTTGTGTACGGGACCAACTATCGCAAAGCCATCTTCATTTTCATCAGGTGAGGCTGACCGGGCAGTAGGCACAGTGGGGAGACCCTTTTTCATAGATCTAGTTAGGTATCTTGGCCTGTGCACCAGCAGACTAGTGTCCCCCTGGGCCTAGTTGGGCTTTCTTAGTTCTTCATACTTTCACTGGTGATTGTCTTTGGAAGTGGTCACCATCCCCTTTGACATTCTCAAAGCCATTCTGGGCTTTGTCTTTTGGATCTTCACTGCTTTGTAGAAGCCCTGCCAGGTCAAGAATTGTCCCTCTTTTGTGGCCAGGACACAAACCTGGTAAAAAGGGGACTGAGTTCTACTCCTCTTGTCCCAGCTCTACAGGTCTGAGCTGTTTCCTCAGGAACTGCTTTAGTTCTCAGAGCCTCCATCTCTTCTGGACAGCTGGGCCAGTGTTAGTGCTCCCTTGTCCTCTTAGGGTCTGGGTAAGGGAAGGTCATTTAAGGATACCAAAGTGTTTTGTAAACTGTAAAGGGCATGGCACATATTCAGGCTATAGTTGTGGACACAGGAGTGGAGAGGGGAGGGGGAATGGCTTCTGTGGGTTTGTCTCCTGTGCACACTGAACTGTGCTCCCAGGTCACGTTAAGTGATAGATACTGGGGACGTGAGGGCTGTCTCAGCCTGGTCCCCCATGATTTTAGTAACACTGGTGGTGAGCAGATCAACCAGGTGGCCTTGGAAGCGTGGCGCAGCCGCAAGGACCGCGAGGAGATTGGCCTGCAGGAGCTGGAGCCAGCCATCTCCCGTGCTGTGCTGGACAACCCACACCGTGAGTTGGCTCCGGGGCCCCGTCTTGGTATGGCCTCATACCAGACCCTGGGCTGGACTCCCCAGGGTGGGCCAGGTTCCCTGGGGTGCAGAGCTTTGCCCCCTAACCCTGTAGTTCTGAGCCTGGGCTTTGGCAATCCTAGCTTTGTGAGTTGAGTCATACAAGCCCCAATCCTGTGCCACATCCCTGCTGCCCCTTGGGTCGTCAGCTTCTCCCTGTTTGAGAAGGACAGCATGTCTGTGTATCGCCTCATTCCCTCCTAGATGGCTTCTGGCGCTCAGGCATCTTAGAGGAGCACCTGCTGGATGCTGTGGTGCCCTTCCTCCCGCTCCAGAGGCACCATGTACGGCACTGCGTGCTCAACGAGCTGGCCCAGCTAGGCCTGGAGCCTCAGGAGGAGGTGGTTCAGGCTGTGCTGGACAGCACCACCTTCTTCCCTGAGGAGGAGCAGCTCTTTTCCTCCAATGGCTGCAAGACCGTGGCCTCCCGAATAGCCTTGTTCCTCTGACCCTCTCAGGGGCATCCTTGCCTCCTCTGCCTAGCCAGGCCATGCAAGAAAGGCCTGGGGCCTCCCCTGGAGGAACCTTTCCCTGAGCTTGCTGGCAAGTGGGACCTAGAACACAAAGTCAAGACAAAGAGGGGTTTTGTCCAGGCCAAGGATTGAAGGCTAGAAGGGCCCAGCCTCTTACCTGGCTAGAGGCATCTTGGCTTTTGCTGCATTCCCCAGAGAACCCCTGGTCACCCCAGAAGCTCACTGAGCCTTGACCTCCCCATGCAGCCTGAGCCTTCTCAATGTGAATTGTAACTCAGGGACCGAGGCTCATGGCTGCTCCCTCCCTCCTGGGCTGTTCCCTGAACCCTTGCCCTGGCTCCACACCTGCCACCCTAACCCACAGCCTGTGTCTCAGTATCACAGGCCAGGCTGGGACACTGCAGTTTCCACAAAGGGAGGGACTCAAGCTGCCCCCTGGGCCTTGATTTAGATGTTTTTAATTTTGTAAAAGAAGAAAGTGAATTAAATTTAGCCATGGGACCTGAGAAATGTTGGCTGAGATTTCTCATTGCTGTGGAAGGGGGCAGCTTGACCAAGGGCTAGCATGTTGGGCAAAATTCGTCCCTTCCCCATCAAGAAGGGCTTCGCTTGTCCCCTTCAGAGAGCAGCTAGTGGCTGGGGTCTGAGCAGCCTTGGTCATGTCGGGGCTTGAGCTCTGGCTCTGAGTGGTCTTGGTTCTGCTGAGACTTGGGCTCAGTCCCCAGGTGGCATCTACCTGGCTGGAGCTTGAGCTCCAGCTCGGGCCAGCCTCAGCCTTGCTGAGCTTCTGGCCCTGGGTTTTCTTGGCACTGTCGAGGTCCCAGCATGGGTCACAGGAAGTCATGTTGGAAGTTTGGCCCTGAAGAGCATTGGCCTTGCTGAGTCTCAAGCACTGGTCACAGGCAGCCTTGGCCTTTCTGCATCTCTGTCTTGGGATCTCAGTAGCCTTGTTCTTCCTAGGCCTCTGCGTTGGTCCCTGGGTGGCCTTTGTCTTGCTGGAGCTCTGGCTGTGACCCTGGGCAGCCTCAGTCCTGATGGAGTTCTGTCTCTGGCTGAGGGAAGCCTTGGTCTTGCTGGAGCTATGGTGCTGCTGCTGGGAAGCTTGGCTTTTTCTGGAAGTCTGGCTTTTTCTGGGATCCTGGCTCAGGCCTAGGTTCTCCCTGTTGTTCCTGGAGTCTTCAGACTGAGTCTGCAGATGGGAGGAGTCAGCGAACGTTTCCAGGGTGCTGGAGGTGCTTCTGTATTCCCGGAAGATAGCGGATGTCCCCGAGTCAGTGTCATCTATGGTCCTAACTGGAAAAGTGTGGTCAAGAACAGCCATCAGGCCTGTCTACCTCCCCTGGGCAATTCCAGGAAAAGGGAGTTTCCAGGCTTCCTCCAGCCTATACCTCTGGCTCTATACAGCCAAAGGGGCAGGTGTGCCAGCTCCCACCAACCCAGCATCCTCTAGAACCTGAGTCCTGAGGTGGGCCAGGCTGTGAGATGAGAGAAGGATACCTGCTTGAGCCTCACTAGCCCATCCTCAGTTTCCCCTCTGCTGGCTGCCCTACCTTCTGCTCCCACAGGGCTCAGCCCTCTAGCCCAGCAGCACCCTGTCCCCACCCCCACATGCTTGGGTAACTTCCTTCAGCTCCTGAAGCCCTCCTCGGAGCCCTCATAAGGCCAATGACGCTCATGACCGCTGGGCCCCTTTCCCCGTGCGGCTGTGTGACTGGCTGTGTGGCTGTCAGTGCAGCTGTCTGGCTGTCTGACTGCTCCCCTGCAAACCTGCTTCCTTTTAGAGTTGACTTAGGGCTCTCTTCCCAGGGCAGGGACTGAGCTGTTCATCCCTTTCACTGGTGTCAGGCACAGGCCTTGCCCCAGGGCACTTGGGGCACACAAGGCAGTTTTTGGATGGCACCAAATAGAAGGAACAGGCACTGCCATTCCTCCTGCCAAGGGCTCTGGGGAGCAGCCTCTGGCTTTTTCCTTTTGTGGTACCCAGCAGAATTGGAGGCCAAAATCCCCTGGGTGTGCACAGGGTTTGTGGGCCAAGTTTAGGGACATGCTGAGGGGGCATAGGGAAGAGGGCCCTAGAGGGGATGATGGAGGAGCAGCAGCAACCATGAAGAGCCTGGGGGTGAGACTCAATATTCCTGCTCTGTGCTGGGCACCGTCATGCCCCCCTCATGCCCCATTTGAAGTTGGGACTGCTACTCTCCACTGAGAGTCACTGCCCAAGGTCACACCATTCTGACCCCTGATCTTTGACCAGTCTGCTGCATTGGCTCACTAGGCCTGGCCAGAGAATCAGAACTTACTGCTGAAGACGGATCCCGAGGAGGGCTGATCGAGGTAGCTGTCTGACAGGGATGTCGCCTTGTGAGGGGTGAGCTCCTGTTCCACCTGTGGCAGGAAATAGGCTGGGCAGTTGCAGACTGGGAGCCCCCACCAGCCAGCAGTCACATTTCTGAAAGGCCAGCAGCTCTGAGACTCTCCCGAGCTTCCATCTCCTCACAGACAGCAGGTTAGGTTTGGGAAGGGATGTGGAGAAGCTGACTGCAGGAAGGGAGCGGCTGCACCATATGGGCACGGGGCCGTGAGAAAGGCAAGGTTCAAGGAGCTGCTGGGCCTCCATTTTCCTCTGTAAGGTGAACATCAGTTCACGTGCGGATAGGCTTCTGCAAACTGTAAAGTGCTGTGTCCTGGGGAATGGCAGTGAGGAACTGAGGAGCTTGCTTCTCCCTACTTCCCTGCTTTAGCCTGTCACCCTGGTAGCACATCTGGTGAGGGAGGGGACACCTCTGCTCTGACCATTTCACAGACAGGGAAACCAAGCACCCAAGCAACCTGCCCAGGGCCACTTCGCTAAGGAGTGAGTACAGCTGTGCTAGACCCCTCAGCCAGACCTTTGGCCACTGACCTCTACCCCCCAACACACCCGCAAATGGTGAGGAAAGTGGGGCAGACAGAGCCAAAGATCCAAGTGCACCAGGCGCCCATCATGTTGGGCCCTGGGCTCTGGGCTGCACCTGTTTCAGCTCCGCATCTCCTGAGAGGTGGAGCCCACAATGACTTCAGGCGGATGCAATAGAAGCTCCACACTTTTACACTTACTCTAATGTGAACTAGAAAAATGATGAGTTAACCTTTTTCTGTTGTGGCTGGGATCCTGGTATTACATTCACTTAGTGGCATATAGTCTCCTTTGAACACAAACTTATTTGATGTCTATCAGCAGTGGGATAGCAAAATTGTGGGACAGTCACAGACTGGAATCTTCTACATAGTGAGATGCAACACAGGTGAATCTCCACAATGCAACGTTTAGGGCAAGTACCCAGAGACGGGAGGGCACACGTATTTTGTCCGTTCATACAAAGAGAAGGTGAACTTCAGGTATGGCCTTAGGAAGCGGGCCTGTGGGCTGGGCTGGTGCAGGGTCTAGGAGGATGCACGCACAAAAGGGCTTATGGGGAGCTGGGAATGTGTTCCTTGTTGATGGTGTCATGCTGTATTCAGTTTGTAAAAATTCATCCAACTTTTCACTTGTTTATGTTACATTGAATAAAAAGGTTTTAGAAACAAGAACTAAGAAAAGTCTGGCACAAGCAGCCAGTGAACCCAACAGAATGTGCGAGGGTATGCGCAGGGCATGGGTGTGAAGTCTCTCTCTGTGATGCCTGTGTCTTCATGCACCCTCCCTAACTCACAGCAAGATGTGCCAGGCCTGGAAGCCAGCCTCAGCCTCAGATCCCAAGGAATCCAGACCCAGCAAGGGCCCCACTCACCTCTTCTTTCTCCTCTACTTCATCCTCCTTGAAGGCCTCTTTCTCTTCTGAGCCTTCTAACCTGACCTGCAGGTCCTGGGGGGTGGCCTGTGACTCTTCAGGAGTTGGCTGGTCCAGCTTCCAAGAGAGTCGCAGGGTCCGGGCCTTCTGACGCTCTAGTTCCCTCACCCTGAGCAGCCTGCCAAGCCACAGCCCAAGGCCCAGGGTGAGTCTCCTGGACAGTGCTGGCCCTAGCAGGCAGCTAGGCCAAAGGAGCCCTGGCCAGTCCCTACCCTGGCCCATGGCCCTGCTCTGGAATTTACCCCACAAGGCCTTGAGGGCAGCTGGTCTTCTCACTCTCCATCCTTTCCAGCTGCAGCCTGGCCAGCTGGGCCACCTGGGTGTTAAGCACCTCCTCCACTGACATGCCCGGGAAGAGGCTGGTCAACAGCGGGAACAGCTGCCAGGAAAGGGGATGACCAGAGTCAGGCGTGGCCAGAGCAGTGGCAGAGGACTGGTGCTGCCCTGCCCCGAGTGTCCTGTCTGCCATTCTCAGAGCTGAAGGGGAGGATTTTGTAGTTGTTTGTAAGGAAGCTTCTATCCTGGAAGGAGCCAGGAGACCATGAGAAAGGGACCATTCCAAGAGAAGCCCTCACAGTGAGGCTGATCATGGGTTCTGAAGTCAGACAGAACCTGGGCTGACCAATGAGCTGCAGGACCTAGGGCAAGAGAACCCTCTCCAAGCTTCCTTCTCCACACACTTGAGGATGTGGGCAATGGCAGTGGGGGGGGGAGGGGGCAAGAACTCTGCCAGGTTTCAAGAAAAGGAGAGAGAGGAGTAACCGTAGATAGCCAGGGTGCTGGCCACGCCTGCCCACCCTCTGCAGGAGCCCACCTTTGGTTGGTTAGGGTTCAGCAGCAATGCAGTGGTAACATCCTGGCGGGCACCGAGAGCGTCCTGAAGGAGCTGCCGGCTCTTGGCCCGGTACAGGTAGTACTGAGCTCTCGTGGGGTTGTGCTTAATGGCTACAGAGAAGTGCTCCACCGCCTTCTGGAACTGCCTACAGGAAGTAATCGGCCACGGGCTGCCATGAGCCAGCCTCCTGGGGACAATGTGGCTCCTGAGCCCCACTGAGGAGTTGGGAGAAAACCAGGGATCTCTGCTCCCCTCCAGGCCCCTCTTCCCCTCCTGCCAGCCAAACCCTTGATAGACCCAATATTCAGATACTGGTGTTAAACCCAGTGCAAATGAATATTTTTAAGATCTTGTGAGTATGGAAGGTCTTTCTAAGACCCAGCAGCTAAAGATGAAAAAATTAATTTGACTATGATTAAATGCCAAGTTACTGAGTAGCAAAATTACCACAAAGAAAAGCAGTATATACGGTTTGGGAATGTAGCTCAGTGGTAGAATGCTTTCCTAGTATGCACAAGGCCCGCGTTTGATCCCCAGGACTGAGGGAAAAAATTATGACAAGATATGACAATTAAGTTCCCACGTACAGAAGACAAAAAGCTAAGAATTCTTAGACTACAAAGGACTCTGGTAGTAAAAAAAAAAAAAAAAAAGTGTGTGTGTGTGTGTCGTAGTGCTGGCGGTTGAACTCAGGGCCTTAAACTTGCTAGGCAGGAACTCTACCACTTAAGCTACAACCTCAGTCCCTCTCCCCAAATTTTTTAGATAATCAATTTAGCAAAATAGGCAAAAGACTTAGGCAGGCCAATAAAGGCCAATAAAGACATAAAAGGCACTGAGGTGCCAGAGCTATTTTTTTGTCTATCAGATTAGCAGAGTTGAAAAACAGTCTTAGCACCCTGTGCTGGGGAGGTTTGGGGACAGCGAGGTGCTCTTTTCCATGGGGAAGCTCACAATGGTTTGCTGTTTTTGAAAAATAATACTTTTTTCTTGGTGGGACTGGGGTTTGAACTCAGGGCTTCATGCTTGCAAAACAGGTACTCCATTGCTTGAGCCACACCTCCAGTCCACTTTGCTCTGGTTATTTTGGAGATGGGGGTTTCTCAAACTATTTTCCAGGCTGGCCTCGAACTTTGATCCTCCCCATCTCTGCCTTACAAGTATCTAAGATTACAGGCATGAGCCACCAGTACTTGGCTCTGGAAAATAATATCTATTAAAAATTTAAATGTTCACATTCCAATCCAATAATTTAACTTCCAGTAATGTAACCTGGAGCTTTACTACTAGGAATGCAGGAAAATGTGTCTTAGATGCTCACTGCAGCATAATTTTTAATAAAAACCTGAAAATAGCCCAATATTCATCAGTAGAGGATTTTTAAAGAAATCAACTCTATCCCCATGTAATGGACTCCTATACAAATAAATAAAAAGTAGTCCTATGTGCGATTCCACAGAAAGTAAAAAGCAAGTCAAAGAACAGTTTCAGAGTTGGGGGCGTGGCGGAGGCCCTGGGTTCCATCCCAGTACCAAAAACAAACAAAAAAACCTAAAAAATTTAAAACACCGCACACAGAATCCCATTTTCATAAGATAATAATAGTTGTTAACATATCCCTAGGGATGACTCATGCATTGTAATTCCAGTTACTTGGGAGGTGGCGATTGGGAATACGGTGGTTCCAGACCAAAAAAACTTAGTAAGCTGACAGCCCCTCCACCCCCATCTCAACCAACAAACTGGGAGTGTGGTGTACGCCTGTGGTCCCAGCTAGGAGGGAGGGTGCAGATAGGAGGATGGCAGTCTAAGACCCCCAGGGAGGAAAAAAAAGTGAAAATCTACCTGAAAAATAAAAACAAAAAAGGGCTGTTGGAGTGGCTCAAGTAATAGAATGTCTGCCTAGCAAGCGTGAGGCCCTGAGTTCAAACCCAACTACTGCGCCCCCTTAAAAAAAAAAATCTGGAGAAATATTGAGGAGTGGGAGTTAGGTTTCGTGATAACTCACATTCGAGTCATATATCACTGAGTACTTAAATTTTTTACAAAAAAAAGCATAATTACTATAATAGGAAAAAGATAAAACCGTATTTATAGCGAAGACTTGAAAAATAAAGTTGGTATCTGGGATACACAACCGGCAGAGAAGCAGCTTGTCCCAGAACCGCAGCACGGGGCTTCCGGACACCCAAGCAGTCCCACCTCCCGGCCCGCCCCAGCCCGTCCCGGCCCGTCACGCCCCGGCCCGTCACGCCCCGCCCCGGCCCGTCCCGGCCCGCCCCGGCCACTGTCGGCCGCGCGCCCCACCCCCGCCCCGCCCCGCCCACTGTCGGCCGCGCGCGGCGCACCTGTGCCGGTGCTCGCAGAAGCCCATCTTCCCCTGCAGCATTCCCATGCGCATGTTGGCGCCCTCGTCCTGCGGGCTCAGCGCCAGCGCCTGCTTGTAGTCTGCCTCTGCAAACGCCAGGTTGCCCAGCTGGAAGAAGCAATCTAGGATCCGAGGACGGGGGGGCTGACTGGATCCCCAAATCTCAGGGACCTGGAGCACCAGCCCAGCCTGCTCTGGTCTCCACCCCAGGGGCAGGGCCTGGAACTGTCGCTGATGCCCACAGGTGGCCGCAGTTTTCCGTGGCTGGGCACCTTTCCCCAGCCGCCGGATCTGAGAACTTGAGACTGTAGCCAGTTTGTGCATGACAACATTTCTCTTCCCGCCCTCCTTCCTTTCCTCCTCCCGGACTCAGGCTCACCACCCCGGTTGATGTAGAGGCCCTTCTCGCCCTGCTCTTCCCGGAGCGCCTTGTTCAGCAGCAGCACGGCCTCCTGATAGGCGCCCTGCGTGTAGCAGTGCACAGCAAAGTCGTTGTAGGCCAGCAGCAGCTGGCGCTGTGCCTGCTTCACCATGTCGTCCTGGGTATTCGTCACCATATCCAGCGCCTTCAGGAAGTCCTCCACCGCTGCGTCAAATTCCTGGAGCCGTCGGTATATGGTGCCTCTATGGGGGAGGGCCACGAGGACCAAGGCACCTCCACTGACTGGCTTGTGAGGGGCAAGCCACTGCCCAGGCTGAACCTCTGAGCATGACCAGTGACGGTGGTGGGGACGCCCACCCCATGGGCCTAGGTTGTGGAGTGGGCTAGCCCTGGATTGCTAGCTTGGGTTGCTACAATAACCTGCTAGTCATTGGTAGTATTTTTATTTCTCAAGAACAATTTCTCTCTTTTGGAGAGCTGGTGTATGCTAGCCTCTATGTGAAGGCTTTTGGCCTTTTTGTCCATGCAGCAGGCATATTACCTCACTATTTAGATGAGAAAACCCAGGCTCATTGAGGTTAATGGCCCTAAATCCTTGAGGGACCAGATTCAACAGCCCCTCCCCCAACCCTGAACTGGGCCGACTCAGCCAGCATGAGCTTCTCAGGGGTCTGGGGGGATCTAGGATTCCTGAGATGACTGGAAGCAGTGACCCCAGTAGGAAATAAGGAAAGATTATTACAGGCTCAATGGGGAAACTGAGTCCTGGAGAGGGCCAGGGACTCTCTGAGACCACACAGCAGGTCTGTGGTAGGCAGGCCAGGACCCAGGTCCAGCACCTCCCCTTCCCTCCCCAGTACCTGAAGAGGAAGAACCTGGGGTCCAGAGGGTTGTTCTGGATGGCTGTGTTGATGCACTGCAGGGCGTGCTGCAGCTTGCCCTGCACGGCCAGAATGCCGGCGTCTTGGTGGGCATGCTGGGCCTGGTCCACCATCATCTGGAGCAGCACCCTTGCCTGCGGGTGCTTGGGATCCAACACTAAGGCGCTGCGCAGGTCATGATAGCAGTGTTTGGGCTGCAGAGGTTGGGGTGGCATTGGGGGCACCAGCTTGGTAAGACAAGCCCCTTCCTGCCCAGTGTGTGGGGGGTAAGGGAGGAGCAGACTTCTAGGTGACAAACTGGCACCACGCCATCCCTCCTTGGTGTCCTCCACATCATTGTTTCACCTTTCCTGCCTCTTGAATGGGACAGAAAGTAATGTGGGAAAATCCCATCTTCAGCCTCATCCTTCTTGACCCCTTTTCCAGAGTGACCTCAAGTAAGCCAAGTCAGTCTCAGCAGTTTGTGCCAATGTTGCCTCTTGTAGGGAGTCCTGAGAGGCTTGTTTGTGGCAGAGGGGAGTATGTGACGTCCTGACTGGGACTGCTGTGTCCTCCCTATCCTCTCCTGCACCCGTCCTCCCACTCCTGGACTTTAAAGCTGAAGACAACTTTGACCAAGAACAGATTCAGGCCTGGGTATGAGCAGAGAACAACCCCAGGCTAAACCCTCCACTGGTGTGCAGGTCAGTCAGTGAATAGTTTTAGCAACAGGGCAGACTGTGGGCAGGTGTGGGTAGAAATGGTCAGGGAGGCTAGCCAGAGCTAGGAGCAGGATTTGGAGTGGGCAGTGTTGGACTCAAGGCAGCACCACTGAGAAGGGGCTGTGAGATCTTGGGCAAGTCACCCTTGGCTCTCTCCTCATGTGCCTGCCTCTCCAGCGGTTACTGGGAACCTTAGAGATACACATGGGCAAAGTGCTCAGGACAGGCCCGTGCATGGCAAGGGCTGAGGTGGCAGGGGCAGTTAAAATCCACACAGCCACCAATAATTGTCGATAATTATACGTCTCATGCCTTTGATGGAGACTCTCCAACTGAGTCACCTGTGGGACACTGAAGTTCGGTCCCTCAGCTGAGAGAGAAGTCACCTGGGTGCCCCACCACCAGTGGTGAAATGAGGTCGACCCACCCTGTCCCTCCCCATCCTGTTTCTGTCATTCAGGAGGCCAGCCAGAGCATGACACACTGGTACACTGTTCTGGAGACTTCCTTCCCTTTCTCTTAAGGCTACGGCCCCTACTTCTGAAGCACTGTGGGACCTGCCCCCTCCTCCCACTCTCTTCCCCTCCCCTCTTGCTCCTCCACAGTGTACGGCCTCCTCCCTAGGCCTCCAACCCACACTCCCTGCAGTGCCCACTGCCCCAGGAGCACCCTTTTGGAACTCTTGCTGCCCCAGAAAGACCTGGGGACCCTAATGCCCTCTCATTCCTGCAGTTCTCTCCTCCCTGCTCAGCATCCCCCTCCAGCTTCTTCCTGTGACCCAGTCTCCCCTGCTCTAAGCCATTCCCTGCACTCTCTGTCCCTAGCCTGAGGAGTGGGGGAAGGGGAGGCGGGCGCTTAGTACATGTGTCACTAGGTGAATAGGAAGAAAGAAAGGAAGCAGGAGGAAGGAGGGAAGAAGGAGAGGAGAGTGCCTTGGGTTCCTCTGGCATGGCTCTTCGTTCACCTGACTGTGGTTAAATCATTCCATTTGCAATGTCTCCCCTAGGCTGAGAGCCCCAACCCAGGAGGACAGGGACAACATGGGTCTCTTATCTTGTGGTTTCCATGGGGCCCAGCACAGGCCTGGCACAGGGTTAGGTGATGATGGACAATTACCTACCTGGGTGGCAGGGTGTGTCAGGCCCTCTGTCTTGGGGGGACCGTGCCCACTGTAGGGACAGGACTTCTGGGCTGGTTGACAGCCTGTAATATTGGGGCACGCTGGGAGCTCCCAGGGTAGTGGGGGGGCATACACCTCCCACCTACCCTCTCCTACCTTCTGGAAGAAGTTGTGGATCCTGGCCCGGAGGATGTAGACATCAGCAGTAGCTGTGCCTTGCTTCACCTCCTTGCTGATCAGTGAGAGGCAGTCCTGATGTTGTTTGAGGGCTAGTAGGCAGGCCATGCTGAGGGGAGAGGATAAGGGGGCTGTCTGTCTCTAGGAGTTGGCAGGAAGAGTTGTTGGGAGAAGGGAGGAGCATGCTGACATTCACCATCGGTAACGGAAGCAGGGTTTCTGGGGCTGGAGCTCAGAAGCTTGTGAGAAGATATTCAGGGCGTCCAGGAAGTCACATTGCTCAAAGAGGCATTGGCCCTGGGGACACAGGGGACAGTCAATTGTGACCCTGGCCCAGCTATACCCACCACTGGGGAGAAGGGGAGAGACACAGGGACAAAGGATTTTTTTTTTTTTTTGACAGTACTGGGGTTTGAATTCAGGGCTTCATGCTTGCTGGGCAGGCTCTCTACCGCTTGAGCTATTCTGCCAGCCCTTTTTGCTCTGGTTTTTGTGGAGATGTGTCTCCTTTTTGCCCAGGCTGGCAATCCTATTTGTGCTTCCTTCAGTAGTGGGAGTGACAAGCACACACCACCACACCATTCTTTTTTCCATTTTTGAGATGAGGGGAAGGAAGGGCCTGTAAATTTTTTGCCTGAGTTGGCCTGGAACCAAGTTTGTTCCTATCTCAGCCTCCTAAGTAGCTAGGATTTCAGGTGTCAGCCACCAGTGTCTTACTAGGGACAAAGAATTTTGGATCTGAGAGAGACTTTGAGACAGAGATACAGAGACAGAAATGGAGAGAGATGCAGAACTAGGGAAAGACAAGAAACACTGAGAAATAGAGGTGCAGAAAGCAATACGAAGACATGGGAACAGAGACCTGAAATGGTAACACTGTGGAGTCCTATGCTGAGAGCCTAACTTGTCATCCTACTGGTACTAGTGAGTACTGAAGGAAAAGAGGCTCAGAGAGGTGAAGGATTTTCCTAAGTCCACACAGGAAGTGACACTGCAGGACACAGGCCCTCAGCAGACATTATTAAGCACAAAGTTTGGGTGCCTCAAATTCTTCTTCATAAGAATTGAATAATTTGGGGCTTTTTTTTTTTTATAGCATTAAACCAGATGTGGTGCTATATGCTTGTAATCTCTATACTCAGGAGGCTGAGACAGGAGGATCAGGAGTTCAAGACCAACTTGGGCTACATAGTGAGACTGTCTCAAAACAACAGGCAAACAAATCAGGATTGTGTTGGTGTTTTAGAGTTAACTGTTGTTTTAATTTTGAATTTTATTTTGAATTGCAAATGAGGTCACTCAACTTTTTTCATGCTCAGAGCCTCTCCACCTAGATCTGTGCTGTCTACTACAATAGCCACCAGCTGCACATGGCTATGAAAATGTAAATTAATTAAATAAAATTTTATTAATTTAATTATTTGGCAATGCTGGGGATGTAATGCAGGGCCTCATGCTCTAATCATGACCAAGGGTAGAGCGAGTGCGCCACCACTGAGCTACCCCAGCCAAATAAAATTTAAAATTTAATTTCTCAGTCACAACTGCCGTATTTCTAGGGCTCAACATTTCCATGTGGCTGATGGTGACCCTACTGGACAGTGAAGGGAGATTATTGAGGAAGTTCTATTGGACAAACCTGCAAATCTTTACCAAGCTTCCCCTGAAAGTAAGCCAACTGGGGAGGAAAGGGGGCAGCAGGTAGGGTCACAGACACGGGGACAAGGAGTCCCCAAGGAGACAGAGCTAGTCCCAGGAGCAAGAAAAGACCCCTTGTGGTTGGGGATGAGCCCGCAGGCCAGGATGGGAGGTGAGCCCTGGGAAGGCTCTGGATAGCCCAGACACCTGTAGGTAAAGCACAAAGGTGAGCCGCTCCAGGTACTTGGTGTTCTCTGGCTGGAAGTCGTAGGCCCTTCGCAAGTTCTGGGCAGCCGAGGAGAAGTCACAGAGCTGGAGGAAGGCTTCGGCCCGTAAGGCGTAGAAGTCTACCTGAGGGTGAGGGGACCCTAACTAGTGTCCCCTCCCTATCATCCACCCCTCTGGGTAGGGAAGATGAGTCCACCTCCCTGAGGCATGACGCTCGGTTACCAGCAGGACCTTGGTGATCCTGAGAGGAGGGGCCAGCAGGCGGGACAGTAAGAGAAGGGAAAGCATATACCAACAGCCACCCATACCTCCCCAGTTCCTCCTCTTACCTGCTGGGGGTCCAGGCAGAGGGCACGGGAGAAGAACAGCACAGCCGACTCCCAATCCTCTTGCTCCAGGCTCTTATGGCCTTGGCTACAGCTGCCGGGACAGGGCAGGGCAGGCTGGGGGCTGGCCCTGACTTTGGACCAGCCAGGGCATACAGCTGAGAGTGAGGTTAGGTGGGAGAAAGGGGAGTGGGCTATAGAGGCAGGAGGAGTAGACAGAGTGCGAGGGAGGGCAGGCTGGCATTCTTGGAGCTCGTCCAGGCCATCAGCCTTTTATCCTCCGAGGTGAGAATGCTCCATTACACAAAGGAGTTCACTGAGGCCCAGAGCAGTAAGTGGTTCAGGGTTGCCGTACATGTTAATGGCTGCGTAGGCAGGAGCCAGGACCTTGGGACAAGGTGGTTACTCACTACTCTTTGACTTTCTGAGGCACTGAAAACCCAGAGGCTTTTATTTTTTCTTCATCGAAGTCCAGGAACACCTTGCTGGTCCCAAAGATGCTCTGTAATGTCCTTTTGGGGGCTGGAATCACACATGACCTTTCGATGCTCTGTGGGTGGGCATCCTAGAACCGAGACACAGCAAGCTGGTGCAGGCCTCAGGGATGACCCACCTCTCCCTTATACCTTCTCCCCAGGTATTTTACAGGGTGGAGATGAAGTCTTGTAGGAGCACATCCAGTCTAGGGTCCTGCAGATCCCCCAGCCCCATTCCCCTTATGGATGTTCCAGCCTCTCTCCTGCAGTCAACGTCAGGGTCCTCACACCCACACCACCCTCTGCTCTCCACTTGAGCTTTCTCAGCTCCCATCTCCTACTCTGAACCCTCACAGCTGGAAGGTCTCCATTCAGACCTGCCCCACGTTGCAGGCCTTAGGGTTTCCACAGGCCCTTCTGTAATCTGAGGGACCCTCCCACCTACCAGACAACACTGAACAAGCCCCTCACCTGACTTCCTCCCCAGGCTTTCCCACCGCCATGTGGTCACCTTTCCCACCAGCCGGCCAAGCCAGAGACCATGTCCTATCAGTCCTCAAATCTTGTCCCACTTCCTCAAAAAGTCTCTTAGCTCATTCCTCTTCTCTGCTCTCCTCTTTTGTGCCAATGTCACCTTGGCCTGGATGCCAGATCCAACCACTCTTTCCTCTCTGCACAAGTTGGGAGCCTCTTTCTCAGAACAGTGACCAGGGCCTCCCTAATTTGTGCTGCTGGCCCTGCCTCCGCCTCGGCTTTAGCCTTTCCCCAGCCCACACCTCTCCGGAGTCTGTCATGAGCCCCGTTGCAGGCGGACCTCGGGCCGGTGCCAACTCTCTCGCGGTCTCCACCGGCTTGCAGCCCAGGTCTCTGGCGTTGCTAGGGACCAGCTGCTGGACGCTCACAGGCTCCGCCCCCTTGACCACGCCCCCAGGATTCAGTGCTGGTTAGAAAACTTTTATTAGCTGGGGAGACTGGGGCGAGGCAGGGACATGGAGGAGGACATAATGAAGGGTTTGCCTTCCGAGCCGAAGATTGAGCAAGGGCTCCGATAGTGCCGCGCAAACTCCACAGGAACACGGTGACATCGCGAAGCGGAATGCACGGGGGTGGCCCGACCCGGCCACCACCCTGCCACTTCCGCCCCTCAGAAGCATAGCAGCCGCGCGGCCCAGCTCGGATTGGATGCCCCTGGACAGGTGGCGATGCGATTGGTCGGGGGGTGCATGACGTTAGGGGGCGGGGTCCGGGCCGTGAATGGGGTCAGCATGCCACCGTCTGGTCTCTTGCTTGCGGGGCTGTGGCGGAGTCGGGCCATGAACCGGTTTGTTTGGGGGCCTGGGTCCCCTGGGAAGCGGTGGCTGGTGAGTGGGGTGTGGGTGGCGACGTAGGGGCTCCGTGGCTCTCTCTCCAGACTGCCATTCTCTCCCAGATAAAGTCCCCCTAATTCCTTCTCTCTAGTTTTCTTACCTACAAAATGAGTCCGATATTCCACTGGCTCCAAACTTTCAGGAGCGCCAGGCTCTCCCAATCTTCTGGAGCCTTGGGTGGGGGAGGGTTCTTAGGCTCTTTCGTGTCCCCTTCCCCAATCGGGCCCTGCTGTCAGTTTCCCCTCCTCTGCTTTGGGTCCCAGGGAACGTTGTGGGATCTGGGGATGGTGAGTTGTCTGGCTTCAGTTTTCCTGGTGTGGCCCGCAGGTGGCTGGACTGGGGAACCCCGGACTGCCCGGCACGCGACACAGCGTGGGCATGGCGGTGCTGGGGCAGCTCGCGCGGCGGCTGGGAGTGGCGGAGAGCTGGGCGCGCGACCAGCGCTGTGCCGCCGACCTCGCCCTAGCCCCGCTCGGGGATGCCCAGCTGGTCCTGCTCCGGCCGCGGCGGCTCATGAATGCCAATGGGCGGAGCGTGGCCCAGGCTGGTGAGTTGAGGGCTCTAGAGGGGGCAGGGGGCAAAGAGGGGACTCTGGCTGCGGCAAGTGCTTGTTGGGCGCCAATTGCTACATGAACTTGGGTACTTTATATGTGACGTTGGGTTCATTGAGGCTCCTCCTTATGGGAGTGGAAACAATGCCCCTATGGGTAGATGGACAGTAACCAGGACCGCGTTTCCTCATGCTAAGCGGAGCTGTTCGGGCTGACTGCCGAGGAGGTGTACCTGGTGCACGATGAGCTGGACAAGCCCCTGGGGAAGCTGGCTCTGAAGCTGGGGGGCAGTGCCAGGTGAGGCCCTGTACTGCTCAGGGTTGGGATAGGGATCTTGGCCTCCTAGCCAGGGTGGAGTAGGGCTGCTGACTGGTCTCCCCAGGACTGGGTCACTCTGAAGGCAGCCTGGGTGAGAACTCTCTGACTGCTCTTTCATATCCCTTGAAGGGGCCACAATGGAGTCCGTTCCTGCATTAGCTGTCTCAACTCCAGTGTGAGTCTGCCCTTCTGTCGTGCTCTGAGTGGGGGTGACCAGCGTGGGGTCTCCAATATGCCTCACTGAAGCCCACTGATTCTTTCTGGCTCCTCATAGGCAATGCCAAGGCTACTGGTGGGCATCGGGCGCCCAGCAAACCCTAGCGCAGTGCAGGCCCATGTCCTGGGATGCTTCTCCCCAGAGGAGCAGGAGCTGCTGCCCCCGTTGCTGGATCGGGCCACCGACCTGCTTCTGGACCACATCCGTGCTCAAAGCCAAGGGCCTTTACCAGGCCCCTGACACTAGTGGACATGGCTGCCTATCTGACCACAATGCCCACAAACCCAGCCACAGAACTGCCAAGCCCACCTGTGGTATCCACTTTTTATAAACTGTTTTCTGGACTACCCCCAGGTCCCTTGCAGAGGGAGACTGTGGACGAAACAGTCTGTTTCTGGGGTAGGAAGTTCGCTTCTCTCCATGTGCTACTTGGGATTCAGGAAAGTGCTGGGAAAACTAAACTTTTTGAGTCTTCTTAGAGAGGCAGAAGGGTGAATCTGTAAGATTAAAGATGCCAATTTGAAATATAAGGCCTCTTCAAGGGAATCCTACCCTTCCCTTGCCAATGGAGTGGGGGTAACAGAGTATGACAGGCCCCCTTCCCAAGGGATGTGTAGGCATGTGTTGGCCCAAAGTGGCCCTACTGCAACCTTTTTTCAGCCTATGTTATAGATGGGGAAGCTCAGAGAGGTCCCACCACATCCGTAAGGCCACCCAGCTGTGAGCTGGCAGAGGCACAATGTGCACCTAGGGCTGGCTGCCACCTTTCTGTCCCTGGCATCCCGGCACTCTCACCTCAGAAGTATTCTTTGCTTGGAAGTTCCCCATGCGAGTAACATATGAAAGCAGCCTGAGGTCCTGAGGGTTGGGTGGGATATGGGCCCGGCGAGGCACCAGGCCTAGATCCCCTGGCTGGTAGGTTATGATGCCAGAGAGCTGCTGCAGCACACCCTCCACTTTCGGTGGCTGGATGATGGGCCGGCTGTGGGGAGGGGTTTGGGGTCATCATCTCTGACTCACAGAAGGGGAGGCTGAGGTTCAGAGAGACCTTGAAGAGCCTGGCTTCTGGGTCAGGATCATCAGAGGACAGCCGCTAGATGGGTTCCATGGCTCCCTCTTCGTTTTTTTTGGTTTTTGTTTTGGTGGTACTAGAGGGTTGAACCCAGAGTCTCCTGCTTGCTAGGCAGATGCTCCACCACTTGAACCATGCTCCCAGTTCTTTTTGCTTTTAGTTTGTTTTTCAGATAGGGCCAGCCTTGGACTGTGATCCTCCTATCTTTGCCTCCTGAGTATCTGGGATTATAGGCATGCACCACAATGCCTGGCTTCCATGGCTGCCTCTTCTGAGGCCACATAGGACCACCGGCTCACCTCTCCTTGGACAAGCCACAGGGCCGGCTGTCCCAGTGGGATCTCTGGACAATGGAAGAGCTGAGCAGGGCCAGCAATTGTTGTAGCAGCTCCTTGTGTTGCAGCTGGAACATCACATTGAAGTCACCATCTTCTTCCTCCGCTTGCATCTGCAGTAGGGATAAGGTGGAATCAGGCCCACCACAGCCCAAGTGCCCTCCCCCAATTCCACACAGGACTCTCAAACCCCAATGTCTATTTTCTCAGTGTTCCCTGGCTGAGGCAGGGTACCCGTTTTCCAACTGGGAAGACTGAGGCCTGAAACCTTCCAGAGCCTCAGAAAAGGAATTCAGCTTCTTGGAGTCCTTGAAGGGATTTTTGAGGTCCAGATGTAGCAAAGGACAGACTAGCTAGGAGTCTCAGGGGAAAGAGAAGCCTCTGGCTCTGGCCCTCTCCCATTCTCTTTCAGGTGGCCCAGTTCTTTAACAGCAGCTTCTGACGTTGGTCCAGTCCCTTCCTGCTACCTCCCACTTCTGGCTCACCTGCAGAATGTCCTGTAGGAAGGTGGTGGCCTGGGTTAGGGCCATCTCCAGGCTGGCCCGGACCTTCTGCTCCTCCATCAGCAACTGCTGTAGTCGCTGTACCTCAACCTGCTGCTGCTCGAGCTCCTGAGCCAACTTGTTTGTCTTGCTCCTGTTCCAGGACAGGCTGAGTCAAGAGCCTGTCACCATTCCTGGGTTGTGGTTGCCATCACCTGGGCCCTGCCCTTTCTCTCCAACACATCCAAAACCAGGCCTCAGCCTGTCTGACAGAGAAAACCTTGAGGCCCCTCCAGAGATGGGAAGTTCTATCATGGGGCAAACCAAACCTGACCCTCCACTTGCTCCCCCACCCCCCACAGGTGCACCTCAGCTCCTGATTGTCCATCTGCAGCTTCAGGAAACCCTGCTCCAGGTGGCTCAGAAGGAGGCGCAGCTGCTGGGCCTCTGCAGCGCCCTGTTGCTGCTCGCAGCACTTCTCAGTCAGCATGAGGATGATCTGTGGGGCAGGCAAGTGGCCATGCCCCAGGGCCCTGTGGGGACCCCAGCCTGCTCTGGCCTGCACCTCAATACACTGCTGGGGCTTGCCCCATGTGGAGAGGCTGGCACCACCTCTGGACCTCAGCTGGGCAGGAGTGGGCTCCACTTAAAGTTATATGGGCTTTAAAGCAAATGGGAAAATCCAGACCCAGGCCCAGCAACTGGAGGTCTTGCCAAGAGGCTGGGTCCTCTCACTGCATCACCCTCCCTCATTACTTGACCTCAGCCTGGGGGCCTATCCTGAGGTCAGGTCCCCCTGTGATGACAGCATGGCAGGCACACCTTCTGGTGGCCTCTGTTGTTCCTTGCCATGACCTTCTGGGTGTTCTCCAGCAGCTCCAGCTGTTGGCATAGCTGGCCCTGGTTGCCTCTGAGCTGCTTGTTTTCCTTCAGCAACTGCACACCTTGCTGGGCCACCTGGGCCAGTTTCAGGGTCACACTGCTGTTCTCCAGGATGGCCCGCTTGGTTGTTTCCCACATCTGGTTGGCAGCCACCTTGCGGAACTCGGTGGCCACAAGGTTCACGCGCTGGATGATCTCTTTTTTCAGTCTGGTCAGGGAGTGGAAGGGGTCAGGCAGGCAGGCACATTTCTCGCATCCCTTCCTCTGTGGGGGCCTCCAGAGCACCCCACTTCCAGAGCTATTAAACACCTCTGAGCCTGGGCAGGAGTCTTTTCCCCATAGACCCTCTGAGCCTTTGGGATTTGAACCAGTGCAGTGTATTTGTCCCTATTAAATAAATATAATCAAAGTCACAAGAAGTGGTCAAAGAAAGTCCCAGGGTTCTCTAATGCTAGCTTGAGGACTGTTGCTTTTTCCCACTCCATAAATCTCAGCTAGGAGTCTGCAGTCGATGACCTAATCCACTAATCCACACTCTCCCCCAATTGCAAGCTGAGAAAAGCTGAAGATGGGATGTGTGTGACCCCAGCAGGGTGCCCGACCTGCCCACCTGTCCTTGTCCAGCACCGACTTCTTCTCCAGGTTGTACACATAGTTCTTGTATTCATTCTCCTGCTTTTGCAGCTGGTCTTCCAACTGTTCGAACTTTTCCATGAGTTCCTCCTTCTGCTGCCGGAACTCCTCCAGGGCTGCCAGCTGCCCCACTGCCCACCCAATGGTGCAGGCCTGATGAGGGGCTGCCTTGGGGGTCCTTGAGGTACCCCTCAGGTCTTGACCTTCCTGCCCATGTCCTCCAGTCCCCCTGCACTGGGAGTGTGCTACAGTGGGGCTGGCCCACATTGCTCTAGGATGCTCTCCCACCTCCTCTCCAATAATCTTACAAAGCTTTGTTTAGGTTCTGCCTCCTCTAAGAAGCCTCCCTTGATACTGTCTTCTACTCCTGCCAACAGCAATGGAACTTGAACATCTCTGAACCAGGCACCCATGCTGTCATTTGAGCCTCATGACACCCCCTATCTGGGTGACCTTGGACAAGATATTCTGCCTTTTTTGAAATACTTCATCTCTGAACTGGGGGAGGGGATAATATTGACAGCCTTATAGAATTTGGTGAACAATTAAGGAAGAAAATGTGTTCAAAGCAGCACAAGTCTGCTGTTCCCAGGTGAGAAAACTGAGGATCACAGGGAATTGCTTGCCCCAGGCCACCCAGAGTCGGTGATGGAGCTGGGGTTTGGCTCTACATCCTTCATTGGCACATGCCCACAGCCTGCCCTCCAGGCCCCTCCTCACCAAGAATGATGTTCTCCGAGGTGAGCTGGTCTTTGGTCTCCTGGAATTCATGGCGCACCTGAGCTAGCTGGGCCTCGAAGGCATCCTTTTCCATCTCCTTGGCCAGCTGCAGACTCTGCAGCTGCTCGTTCAGGTCCGTGATCTCATCCACCCTCTGGTTGAGTGTGCGCTTGAGGAAGGCCACAATCTCCTTCTTGTTGTTGGCCAGTTGCTCAAACTTCTGGCGGAACAGCCTCTCCTGCACAGCCAGCTCATCCCACCTCCTCTGGTACCTGGGGCAGAGATCCAGGGTCAGTCCAGGCAAGCCAGTCCTCCAGTGTAGCCGGGCCTGCTCTCCCAGTGCTGCTCCCATAAAGAGGCACTCAAAGATCCTCATAGTCTGAATCCAGCCTCATTTCCCACTGTGCCTCCTGACTGGCGGTCTTGATCTCAGCAACCCCTTTGCTCAGCATTTTGTGTAAGCCCTAGCAGGACCCAGACTTCACTATGTTCACAGCCATGTCCCCAACATCTGTGCCTGGGACATAGGAGGCACAGGTCTTCATTTGTTGGATATTGAGTCCTTACATCCTACAAGGATATTGGTGCTATGATGACTGTACTTATTTTATAGACAAGGAAACTGAGGTTTGTTTGGTTTTTTTTTTTTTTTTCTTTTTGGTGGTGCTGGGGTTTGAACTCAGGGCCTTGTGCTTGCTAGGCAGGCACTTTGCCATTTATGCCATACCTCCAGCCCAAAACAGGTTTGGAAGGATGAAGAAACTCCTATGTCGTAACTGGCAAAGCCAGAACTTGAATGCCAGTGAATCCAGCCTGAAAGAAGAGGCTGTTAGCACAATGTCTGCTGCTGCAGCCAGCCAGCTCTGCGTCCCTCCTGAATACATCCAGTCCCAAGTCTGCTACCTTCTTTACCCTGTTCATCAAGTGAACCCCGGTGTTTCCTCTTCAGTGGACCCTTCTTGGCTCTCAGCTACCTATGTGGCTCTCTCGTTGGTGCCCTCTTGTAGGTTGGCTCTTGTCCCATTGGGGGTTGAGACCTGATAACGTGCCCTTCTCTTCCACTTGTTTGACCCTTGACTTCCTCCATTCTGTATGTCTGGTCCTGACAGAGGGCTTGGCAAATAGTAAGCACCAAACAACTGTCTGATAAACGCATTTTTCCTGACACATTATATCTGGTATCTCAGCTCCTGGGAAGTTTATGAATTTTAGGAGCAAGTGAAATTTAACTGATTCACCTGTTTCTAGTGACATAATTGAAGTTATTTGGAAAGTTGTTTTCATATTTATTTATTTATTTATTTTGCACTGGGGCTTGAACTCAGGGCCTTTACCTTGAGCCACTCTACCAGCCCTATTTTTGTGAGGGATTTTTCAAGATAAGTTCTCACAGAACTATTTGCCTGCGCTGGCCTTGGACCATGATCCTCTGGATCTCTGCCTCCTGAGCAGCTAGGATTACAGGCGTGAGCCACCAGTACCTGGCATCCTCATAATTTATTGAACCAAATATATATACATATATAATTTTTATTTTATTTATTTTTTGGTGGGACTGGGGTTTGAACTCAGGGCTTCATGCTTGCAAAGCAGGCAGCTCTATCACTTGAGTCACACCTCCAGTCCATTTTGTTCTGGTTATTTCACAGATGGAGTCTCATTAACTATTTGCCCAGGCTGGCTGCAAACCTCAATGCTCCAATCTCAGCTTCCCAAGTAGCCGGGAATATAGGTGTGCTCCACTGGAGCACGGCTTGAACCAAATCTTTTGAATGGCCACTGCACACTGGGTGCTTCATGGGTGCTGACTCGTTGGTGGAGTCATCCTGGTGCCTCCTCTTCCTACGGGTGACTTTCCCTCTCTGAGCCTCGGTATCTTTGTCAGTGTAGTGGGGATGATGTCAGGTCCTCTCTTGTGGGACTGTTGTGAGGACACAGTGAGTGACAGCACACACAGGACCCTGTGGGACACGCAGACCCTACACTAGCTGTGATCATCTGCCACTAGCGATTACCAACCATCTGTGAAGAGCTGTTGCCTTTTAAGATCACCCTGAGACATGGGGCTGGTGGGTTGTAACTGGGAGGCAGCAATTTAAAGTAAGAAAGACGATGGGTGAGTAAGCATGTCTCTAAATGAAGGGTTAGACCATTTCCTCCCCACCATCCACACCACACACAAAACTGACCCTAGGATAGAACATCGCATTGGAGGGGGAACCAATCTTCCTTGTTTCCATTTGGGGAAACTGAGGTCCAATATCAAGAAGCAACTGGGACTTGACTCAGCAGCTGGGTACGTCAGTGTGGTAGCACCACTTCCAGGTGCTAGAAGATGGGACAAGTAGCCACCTGGCTGCCAGGGGCCTGCCATTTCCAGTTCATCCCACAGATCAAACTCTACCCTTTCACTGGAGTGAGGCAGGAGGCAGTGGGGCTCACCTGAGGTGGAACTGCTAGTTGTGGAGCTGAGAAGGGGTGGGGAAACCTATTTCCCCTCAACCTCCTGTTGCTATTTATCTCTAAGGAAACAAGCTGAGGGTGGGGGTGGGGTCCGGACAGCCCACAGCCGCCCCCTGCCTAAGCCTACACAGGTCTCTGACCTGCAGCACCACCCACCGGGCCAGCCTGTCCTCCAGGTCTCTGATCTGGTTGTGGTAGAACTCTCGCATCTCTTCAGCCAATACATCCCCAGTCTTGGCGAATGTGGTGGGATCCTTCTTGCCCCCTTTCTTCTTCTTGACCTCTGGCTCTTTGCCTCCTTTGTTTGCCTTTTTGGGAGCCATGGTTGATGTCAACCACTGCTCCAAGTCTCCTTTAAAAATGCCATCTGGTTGCTAAGGAAGTTGGTCCCATACATAGCAACAACCTGAGAAAGAGACGCTGGTCTTAAAGGGCCCCCTGTCCCCTTTCTGGCTGGTGTCCAAGGCAGACAGTATCATTGAGGCCCTGGATGTCCCAGGCCAGGGCATCTCAGACCTTGGGTACACTTTTGGGTTCTGGGGAGACCTTTCCCTTCCCCAAGCAGAAGTAAGTGATGTGGGAAGTCAATTAGAGTGGTCAGGACCCTAGAAGTCACCAGCCTGCCCCTTTGGGCTAATGAGAACACAAAAGCCCAGGGACTGGAGGAGTGGCTCAAGTGGTAAAGCACCTGCCTAGCACCCCAGTATCACAAAAATAAATAAATAAATAAATAAAAATAAAAAACCTGGAGAGGACAGGACCAGAAGAAGCCAGCACTGGCCCCCAGCCCAGGGAGGGCCTCCCTGAGAGGACGTTAAATTTTTGGTGATGCAGCTTCACAGCAAAGTCACTCTCCGTTTCACCCAAAGCGGGGTAGGAAGCAGCATGGTAGGAAAAGACTGTGCGACTCCAGAGCTGTGACCCTGGGACCCCCAGTGCAGAGGCTGCCTCCATGTCCCACGCCCTTAGCGGAAGCTCCATTTGCCCAGTGCTGATGCCAGCTACGCAAAGGCCCCTTCTGTATCTCTGGCCTGGGCAGCAGCCTTGGAAGAGAGGGGGAAGCCCAAGGGGCAAGGAAGGTCCATGCAAGGGGCAAGCATAGTGGTTGTCCAGCTAGCAGATGCCCTGGCTGGCAACCATGTGCCTGAACAGGCTCTGTGCCGTCACAGCTCAGCACCCCCCATCCCCCACCATGCCTGTTTGCCTATTTGTGTCCCCACCAGCTGAGGCACTCCCTGGGGCAGGAGACATGTCATCCCTCTTGTCTGGGGCTTGATGCACAGCAAGAGATGGCAATAGCTCCACTAAACCACCAAGAGTGTGTCAGCAAATGTGGTTGGTCCGAGCAGTTAGACCTTGTGAGCACTGGGGTCCTCGGGGTGAAGGTATGGGGCGAGGAGACACATTAAGGGCTCAGAAACTCTGGGAGATGGGTGTTTACAATTGGCAATGAAGCCAAAGAGGGGTAGCTGGCTGATTAGAAGTGGGTTTAAAATTGGATGCTCTCTTTTACACTCCGTGGGACCTGAACTTTCTGAGCTGGAAACCCTGCTGTTGACTGAGCAAGACCTTGTATGGAGAGAGCATGGCATCACAGGGATATGGCCCAGGGACGCAGAGACACCTACTCCACGGACGTCTTGTTGCTGCTTCTGCAGCAGGCTCTGTGACCTCTGTGACTGATGCAGAGGACCCAGATGTGCTGGAGCTGCCAGACCACAAAATCAGCAGCCCCTCCAGCAGCTAGGTCTTTGGAGGGAAATCAGTGTGGCACACAGCCCTGTAGTCTGTGGCATTGGCCCAGCCTGGCACAGGTGGCCCAGGGCACTGCCACCTATGCGATCTGGAGGGAAGGAAACCCAGCCCTGGGGAGAAAGGGAGGCTACGCATCATTGAGCACTGCCTGAAGCCTTGCTCACCTGTACGGAGCAGGTGACATAGTGACCGAACTGGATGCTTTTTTTTTTTTGCGGTACTGGGGTTTGAAATCAAGGCCTACACCTTGAGCACTGTACCAGCCTTTTTTTTTTTTTTTTTTTTTTTTGTGAAGGATTTTTTCAAGATAGGATCTCATGGACTATGCCTGGGCTGGCTTTGAACCGCGATCCTCCTGATCTCTGCCTCCTGAGTAGCTGGGATTATAGGCCTGGCTTGGGATGCTTTTTGTTAATGGCAATGAAGTAGTCTCTGATCAGAAGATTTCCAATTCTTTGTGTCCCAAGTGGAAGAATCCATGGAAGGACACATGGGTGTGATGGAGTTTATTAAAAGTTAGGGAGGGGAAATGCAAAAGGGGCATAGTAGGACCAGGTGGAAGCTGGACGCACAGAAAGCGTCTCTCTCTTTCCCAGGTGCTTTTAAAACTTGCATTAACCTAGGGGAAGGGAAGAACTTGGTGATTCCCAACTACCAATAATCGATGAGTGGAGAGGGACCTGGGTGGTCCCTGGGCCAGGTGGGGGTGGTTTGAGTTGTCCCTGAAGTAGGGTTGCAATTGAAAAGAAGGCTCAGAGAAAGAGAAGAATGTTCAACCTGAAATACAATATTAAGCGTATGTTCTGAAAGTCCCGAACTTTCTCTAATTCTAGGCTGGCAGAGTGGCTCAAGTGGTAGAGCACCTGCTTAGCAAGTGTGAGGCCCAGAGTTTAAGCTGAAAAAAAAAAAAAAAAAAAGAAACCAAAAAACCAAGCAAACCGAACTTTCCCTAATTCTAGCCAGCCTCAACAGGATCCCATGTATACAATATGTCCAGAGAAAGTCAGACTTTGCCAGTGTCTCATGCCTCCTAGCTACTCAGGAGGCAGAGATCAGGAGGATCGAGGTTCAAAGCCAGCCCAGGCAAATAGTTCTGTTCCTCAAGACCCTATTTCAAAAAAAAAAAAAATCACAAAAAAAGGGCTCGTGGAGTGGCTCAAGGTATAGGCCCTGATTTCAAGCCCCAATACTGAAGGGAAAAAAGGAGAAAGGCATCCTATGATAACCCCTGGGCTCTGGCTACTTGATCTTCATAGAGACTAGTGGAGTTGGGAAGTGGAATTACAATGAATTTTTCCTTTCTTCCTCTTGCGGCCACAGCTATGTCTAACTGCTGCCTAGCTGTACAATCCCGTGATTATATTAAAAAGTATTGCACCTGCCTCGTAAGTGCAAGGCTCGGAGTTCAAATCCCAGTACCGAAAAAATTGCCAAAGTATTGGAGTGTATACTTTATTTTTATTATTATTCATATGTGCATACAAGGCTTGGGTCATTTCTCCCCCCTGCCCCCACCCCCTCCCTTACCACCCACTCCGCCCCCTCCCTCTCCCCCCCCCTCAATACGCAGCAGAAACTATTTTGCCCTTATTCTAATTTTGTTGTAGAGAGAGTATAAGCTATAATAGGAAGAAACAAGGGTTTTTGCTGGTTGAGATAAGGATAGCTATGCAGGAAGTTGACTCACATTAATTTCCTGTGCGTGTGTGTTACCTTCTAGGCTAATTCTTTTTTATCTCACCTTTTCTCTAGTTCCTGGTCCCCTTTGGAGTGTATACTTTAAATAGGTTAGTTGTATGTATATGAAAATATTTCAATAAAGTTGTCTCAAAAATCCAGCATTGAGGCTGCATGTGGGTTGTGTCCGAATCTCCATTCCACCCCTTGCCACTACAGGAACTTTGTTTTCTTTTGTTATGGATATGTTTTTTTTTAGGAACTTTGTTTTTATGGTGGTCTGGGGTTTGAACTCAGGGCCTTGCTAGGCAGGCATGAGACCATTCCACTTTGAGCCAGTGATTTTTTTTTGTGTTGAGTTTTTTTTTTTTTTTTTTTTTGGTACTGGGGCTTGAATCAAGGCCTTCACTTTCAGCCACTCCACCAGCCCTATTTTTGTGAAGGGTTTGTCAGCATAGGGCCTCGGGGAACTATTTGCCTAGGTTGGCTTTGAAATTCGGTCCTCCTGATCTCTGCCTCCCAAGTAGCTAGGATTATAGATGTGAGTCACCGGGACCTGTCCTGTTGAGTACTTTTGAGATAGGTTCTCTTGAACTATTTGCCTGCACTGGCTTCGAACAGTGATCCTTCTGATCTCTGCCTCCTGAGTAGCTAGCATTTAGGTGTGAGCCACCGGCACAGAAACTTGGGACACACAGCTTACATTTCCGGTTTCCATTTGTAAGATTTGGTATTAACAGTGCTGATTCACAGAGTGACTATGAGGCACCTGCGAGGACAGTGCAGGTAACAGGTTCACATAGAAAGCCCAGCACCGGGCAGTTGATGAGTTCATGGCAGCTCAGAGCCATAAACAAGACAATTTTTAAAATTTATTTTGTTGTACTGGGGTTTGAACTCAGGGCCTTCACCTTGAGCCACTCCACCAGCCCTATTTTTGTGAAGGGTTTTTCGAGATTGGGTCTCTCAACTATTTGCCCGGGCTGGCTTGGAACCATGACCCTCCCGATCTCTGCCTCCTGAGTAGCTAGGATTACAGGCGTGAGCCACTGGCCCGGCTAACAAGCCAATTTTTTGAAGAATTAAACAAATCGGGCACTTTACAGAGTGGAGCCTTCAGGTTCAGTGGGTTCTGAGGTGGAGCCCAGCCCCCTTCTCAGCAGGTGGGCTCTCTGTTTCCTAGACTGGAGCCTGTCTGGCTGCAAAACTTCCGACTCCAAATTGAGAGCCTCTGTTCATTTATTTATTCTCTTTTTACTCAACTAATAGACCCATGGCCTTTTGCCCTCTTGTGTGTTGGGAAAGGTGTTAACCCAACATTCACACACTTAGAATTATAAGCTGTGAGCTGGTGCTCTGAAGCAAAGGTCTTAAGAGTTATGCCCCTAATCCTAGCTACTCGGAAGGCAGAGATCAGGAGGATAGCGGTTCGAAGCCAGCCCGGGCAAACAGTTCGCGAAAAAAACCTATCACAAGAAATAGTTCAAACCCCAGCACCGAAAAACAAACAAACAAAAACAAAACAAACAAACAAAACAACCAACCAACCAACCAACAAAACAAAACAGCCTCCACCATGGATTCTATCATGGAAGCAATAGCAGGCTACCTGGTGAGGGGATGAGGGAGCGAGGTGGGGAGGAAGTTCAAAGGCCCTGAGGGCGGGGAAAACCCTTCAAACTCGATGTAGGCCAGAGAGGCTGCAGCTCGGAGCGAAGGAGAAAGCGGGCGACACTGAGGCGGAGGCACAGCCGGGCCTGACTACAGGAGCCTTCTGACCCAGAGGAGCGACACAGTGCTCTCCATTTGCATGGGAAGTCAGGGGTCAAAATCAGACTCAACTCTAAAGTCTGCTAATCATAAATACTGAGAATTAAAAAGTGCCAGTTCT